AGAGTGCTTGCCTAGCATGCATGAAGCCCTGGGTTCGATTCCTCAGCACCTCATACACAGACATAGCCAGAAATGGTACTGTGGCTCAAGTGGTAGGGTGTTAGCCTTGAGCAAAAGAAGCTCAGGGACAGCATCAAGGCCCTGGGTTCAAACTGCAGGACTGGCAAAAAAAAAAGAAAAAGAAAGAAAGAAACTTGAGGGGAAGGGACAAATAGGGGTAAAAGTAGTAGGTCAGCCTTCTAAGAACACAAGGAATGGAACAGGAACAAAATGTGTCATCTGCCACTTCAGCTGTGCCCCTCATCCTCTGAAGGGGTGCCAAGGTCAGAGCCGGCTGAGCCAGAGAGGGACAAATCCAGTAACCTCCCTCCTGGCCACTAGAGCCTCAGCTTTTACACTGGCTCTGCAGGCTCCGTCAACGTCCCCAGGGCCAGCAGTAATTCCAGGCATGGGCTTCAGACCAACCAGCTCAAGGAGCTCTGTCTCCACAGACTCGGTGCAGCAGCCGGAGTCCTTGCCATGTGCCAGGCATTCTAAGCAGTTACAGCTGCCCCGTCCTGTCCCAGTCACAGAGCATACCCGAGTGCCTGTCCCACAAGATGCAGCTCACACTCAAGATTGCAAATCTGAACACAATCAATCAATGCACATGCGGGTCTTTCTTCTGGAAAGTCACAGGAGCCCCAATAGCAGCCAGGCCAGTGAGTAGTCATCTCTTTCACAAGTGGCCAGGCTGCTACATGATACAGGTCTAGTGAGTATTAGAATTTGCACCTCCTGGACTGTGTTCTGTGGTGGGTGTGAGGGCACATCTATGAAGTGAAGGTTGGAACAGGCTTGCCTGGGCTACTCGGACAGTCATTCGTGTGTGTGTGTGTGTGTGTGTAAATACATACATATATATGTTTATATAGATATATACATACCATATATATATATTTATATATCCTTGTTGGACCATGAACTTCTTTTTGCCCAAGTCCTGGGACTTGAACTCGGGCCTAAGTGCTGTCCCTAAGCTTTTTTTTTTTTTTGGTCATGCGGCTTGAACTTAGAGCCTGGGCACTGTCCTTGAGCTTTTTCACTCAAAGCTCGTGTTCTACCATTTTGAGCCACCATGCCACTTCTGGTTTTCTGGTGGTAAAATTGGAGACTTTCCTGCCCAGATTGGCTCTGAACAGTGATCCCCAGATCGCAGCCTCCTGAGTAGCTAGGATAACAGAGGTGAGCACCTGTGCGTGGTCTGTCCCTAAGCTTTTGTGCGCAAGGCTAGCACTCTTACTTGAGCCACATTCACTTATGGCCTTTTGGTATTTAATTGGCGATGAGCCTCTCACAGGTTTTCCTGCCCAGGCTGACTCTGAACCACAATCCTCAGATCTCAGCTTTGTGGGTAGCTAGAATTACAGGCATGAGCTGCCTGTGCCTAACTTGGTAGAACCATGAGCTTTAACAAAATCACAGGAAGGCTGGGCACCAATGGCTCACACCTGTAAACCTAGCTATTCAGGAGACTGAGATCTGAGAATTGCGGTTCAAAGCCAGCCCAGGCAGCAAAGTCCGTGAGACTCTTATCTCCAATTAACCACTCAGAAAGCTGGAAGTGGCACAGTGGCTCAAGTGGTAGAGCACTAGCCTTGAGCTGAATAGTTGAGGGACAGGGCTCAAGCCCAGAGTTCATGCCCCATGACTGACAAAAAAAAAAAAAAAGGAAGGCTGGGAAGGTGGCTCAGTGGTAAGGAGCTTGCCTTGCATGAGGCCCTGGGTTTGATTCCTCAGCGCCACATAGGCAGAAAAAACTGGAAGTGGCACTGTGGCTCAAGAGGTAGAGTGCTAACTTTGAGCACAGACAGGCTCAGGGACAGAGCCCAGGCCAAGAGTTCAAGGCCCAGGACTTGCAAAAAAAAATAGGGGCTGGGAAGATGGCTCAGTAGTAGAGTGTTCGCCTTGCATGCATGAGGCCCTGGGTTTGATTCCTCAGCACCACATAAGCAGAAAAAGCCAGAAATGGTGCTGTGGCTCAAGTGGTAGAGCACTAGTCTTGAGTTGAAGAGCTGAGGGACAGCGCCCAGGCCCAGAGTGCAGGCTCCAGAACTGGCAAAAAAAATAAAATAAAATAACGGAGCTGGGCATCAGTGACTCATGCCTGTAATCATAGCTACTCAGGAGGCTGAATGAGATCTGACATTCACATTTCAAAGCTAGCACAGGCAGATAAATCCAAGAGATCCTTACCTCTAATAAGCCACCAAAAGAGGAGGTGTGGCTCAGGTAGCAGGATGCCAGCCTTGACATAAAAGCCAAGCAAGAATGTGAAGCCCTGAGTTCAAGCCCCAGTACTGGCATGAAAAGAAAATAAAAATAAAAAGCACCACTTATGACTGGTATCCATTCATTCAGGCACAGCCCTTGTCTGGCTGGACAAATGCCTGGAATATAGAAAATATAAGCACCCTAGCCTATATTTTATTTATTGATTTATTTTGGTCGGTCATGGGGCTTGAACTCTGGGCCTGGGCACTGTCCCTGCACTCTTCAGCTCAAGCGAGCACTCTACTGCTTGACCCACAGCACCACTTCCGGTTTTCTAGTGGTTTATTGGAGATAAGAGTCTCATGGAGGGGCTGGGAAGGTGGCTCAGTGGTAGAGCACTTGCCTTGCATGCATGAGGCCCTGGGTTCGATTCCTCAGCACCACATAAGCATAAAGAAAAATCCGGAAGTGGTGCTGTGGCTCAAGTGGTAGAGTGCTAGCCTTGAGCTGAAGAGCTGAGGGACAGCGCCCAGGCCCAGAGTTCAGGCCCCACGATCGGACCCAAAAAAAAAAAAAAGTCTTGTGGACAGACTGGGTGCCGGTGGCTCATCCTAGTTACTCAGGAGGTTGAGATCTGAGGATCGTGGTTCAAAGCCAGCCTGGGCAGGAAAATCCGTGAGACTCTTACCTCCAATAAACCACTAGAAAACTGGAAGTGGCACTGTGGCTCAACCAGTAGAGTGCTCGCCTTGAGCTGAAGAGTGCTGGGACAGCGCCCAGGCCCAGAGTTCAAGCCCCAAGACCGGCAAAAAAAAAAAAAAAAAAAGAGTCTCAGGGACTTTCCTGCCTGGGCTGGCTTTGCACCTCCATCCTCAGATCTCAGCCTCCTGAGTAGCTAGGATGACAGGTGTGAACCACCGGCGCCTGACTAAGCCTATATTTTATATAACCCTAACTTGGGGGGTTGGAAAAGGAAGACTGCTCTAGGGATTTAATGTGGGTCAGTAACATAGGCGTTAGAACTAGGATGGCAGAAGTTGGGTGAAGGTGGCGGAGGGTGAGTGGCACAAGGATTGTCACCTAAACAGCAAAGGAGCCAAAGGGAGCCATGTGGCCCTGACCAGGGATGACGGTGTCACTGGGCTGCCCCTGTCGTCAGGGAGCCCATGCCTTCCAGTGTGCTCTGCGCTCTACTCGCTGCCCCCAGCTGTGCTGAACCCAACTAGAAGCTGAAGGGGCTGCAGCTGACTGATGACAGGCAGGGTCCAGAATGGACCAGCTCTGTCCACCCTTCCCTCTTAGCACCATTACTAACCAACCAACTCCAGGGAGCTTCACTGACTACCATGTGTGAACACCAACGCGCGCGCGCGCGTGTGTGTGTGTGTGTGTGTGTGTGTGTGTGTGTTCTTCTTCCTCTTCTTCTTCTTCTTCTTTCTTCTTCTTCCTCTTCCTCCTCCTCCTCCTCCTTCTTAGTTGTTGGTTGTGGGGCTTGAACTCTGGGCCTGGGTGCTGTCCCTCAGCTCTTCAGCTCAAGGCAACCGTTCTACCACTTGAGCCACAATGCCACTTCCAGTTCTCTGGTAGCTATTTGGAGATAAGAGTCTCATTCCTGCCCAGGATGGCTTTTGAACTGTGATCCTCAGATCTCAGACTCCAGAGTAAGTATGATTACAGGCATGAGCCACAGGCACCTGACAAGTCTTGTACTTTTCTGCCTGGCCTGGCTTGGATCCATATTCCTCAGATCTTAGCCTCCTGAGAAGCTGTTACATGCTTAATACTATAGTAAAAGTAAAAAATGAAGTGGTAAATGCTGCAGCTGTGTGCTTGAGGATGACCACTGTGGCTGGGGAGGAGCAGAAGCAATGTTAGGCTTTGGCCATAGGGTGTCCCTGCAGGACATTAGCCAGGGCAGTAAGCTGTAAAGGGAAGCTACCCTGGTTAGTTTTTCCAGATTGCTACCCTGGCCAGGCCCTTTCTGCAGAGCACCCCACTCTCTGGCATATGTTTTCTGTTCTGCTCTCTCTTGGGCTCCATCCCCACAAGAGAAACAGTCTCAAGTCCCTCTCCAAGTAGAAAAAGAAGTTCCTTGTTTGCAAAGACCGCACTACCTGCTCAAACTCTTAGTTTATTGCCACAGCAGCCGGATTTCCACATGTGAGACAATGTTAGGCCTGAGCACAGGGCTGGTGGCCATTTCCTTTTTGTACAAATGACTCTTTCACTTCTTTCCAAAATGCCACACACACACACACACACACACACACACACACACACACACACACACACACACACACACGTGCCAGTCCTGGGGCTTGAACTCAGGGCCTGGGCACTGTTCCTGAGCCTCTGTGTGCTCAAGGCTGGTACTCTACCACTTGAGCCACAGCGCCACTTCTGGCTTTTCTGTGTATGTGGTGCTGAGGAATGGACCCAGGGCCTCATGCGTGCTAGGCAAGCGCTCTACCACTGAGCCCCCTTCCCAGCCCACTACTTTTTTTTTTTCCTTCTGAACACACTCAGGTGACCTTGGTCTCTGGGGGCACCCAGTTTCCCCTGTTCTCTTCCTCTAGCTCCCATTACTTTTCCACCTTCAGGGGCTCCTGCAGCTGCCACGCCTTCGCTGCACCTGTGTGTGTGTTGCCTCCTTACTCGTTTATTTAGAGGTGCCTGTGTCCTCCACCTAAGGGCCCAAGCAGAGGGGCCCCATCACCCCTAACTCTCCGGCCTATTAATGAAGGGTCCTAATGCAGGGATTCTGAGGTGTCCTGCGCTAGCCTGGGGGTGATGGGGATCCTGGGGGTGCTGGGGGTCCTGGTGGTCCTGGGGTGCTGGGGGTCCTGGGGTACCCAGTGTTCACCTGGGGGTGACGGGGGTCCTGGGGTCCCAGGGATCCTGGGGTCCCGGGGATCCTGGGGTGACAGGGGTCCTGAGGTGATGGGGATCCTGAGGGTGATGGGGGTCCTGGGGTCCCGGGGATCCTGAGGGTGATGGGGGTTCTGGAGTCCCAGGGATCCTGGGGTGATGGGGGTCTTGGGTGCTGGGGTTCCTGGAGTCCTGGGGATCTTGGGATGCCTGGGGTCCTGGAGTGATGGGGATCCTGGGGTGATGGGAGTTCTGGGGTGCCTGGGGTGATGGGGGTCCTGGGGTGATGGGAGTTGTGGGGTGATGGGGGTCCCGGGGTGCCGGGGTTCCTGGGGTGCCGGGGGTCCAAGGGTTCCTGGGGTGCCGGGGATCCTGGGGTGCCGGGGGTCCTGGGATGATGGGGGTCCTGGGATGATGGGGGTCCTGGGGTGATGGGGATCCTGGGGTGCCGGGGGTCCTGGGGTGATGGGGATCCTGGGGTGATGGGAGTTCTGGGGTGCCTGGGGTGATGGGGGTCCTGGGGTGATGGGAGTTGTGGGGTGATGGGGGGTCCTGGGGTGATGGGAGTTGTGGGATGATGGGGGTCCCGGGGTGCCGGGGTTCCTGGGGTGCCGGGGGTCCCGGGGTGCCTGGGTTCCTGTGGTGCCGGGGGTCCTGGGGTGCCGGGGGTCCTGGGGTGATGGGGATCCTGGGGTGCCGGGGGTCCTGGGGTGCCGGGGATCCTGGGGTGCCGGGGGTCCTGGGATGATGGGGGTCCTGGGGTGATGGGGATCCTGGGGTGCCGGGGGTCCTGGGGTGATGGGGATCCTGGGGTGCCGGGGGTCCTGGGGTGATGGGTATCCTGGGGTGCCGGGGGTCCTGGGGTGATGGGGATCCTGGGGTGCCGGGGGTCCTGGGGTGATGGGGATCCTGGGGTGCCGGGGGTCCTGGGGTGATGGGGATCCTGGGGTGCCGGGGGTCCTGGGGTGATGGGGATCCTGGGGTGCCGGGGGTCCTGGGGTGATGGGGATCCTGGGGTGCCGGGGGTCCTGGGGTGATGGGAGTTGTGGGGTGATGGGGGTCCTGGGGTGATGGGAGTTGTGGGGTGCCGGGGGCGATGGGGGTCCTGGGGTGATGGGAGTTGTGGGGTCCCGGGGGTCCCGGGGTTCGCCTGGGAACGTGACCACGTCGCCCCCGGCGTACAGCTCGGGCACGCGTGCGCGCGGACCTATCGTCTCGCGCGCGTTTGAGCGCCACGACGCGCCCAGCCTGCCCCCTTCGGGGCGCGGGGAACAAGCACAGGCCCCGAACTCCCGGGGAGAGCCCAGGTGGGACGGGACCCGCGCCGGGCGCGAACGCGGCGTGGGACGGCGCCCGCGCGGACGGCGCCCCTCGGCGGCGCGGCGGCCGCAACAGTCAGGTATGCCAGTCACGAGACGGCCCGGAGGAGCGACGTCACGCCTGGGGGCGGGGCTCGGGGGGGCGGCTAGCGTGAGGGATGTGACTTCGGCCAATGAGAGCAGAGATCGCGCGAGGGCGGGAGCAGGTTGCCGCGCGCCACGTCGCGGTTGGCCAGAGCGCTGGGAGAGGCCCGCCCACTCCGGTCCGGGAGGGCGGCGCCCGGGCCGCGGTGGCGGCGGCCCCTCAGGTAAACGGCGGCGGGGGACGCGCTTTCGCCGGTTCCGGGGACGCGCCCTCGGGAAGGCTCGGCCGGAGAGCCCGGGAACTGCTGCTCTTGCCGAGCTGCACGGGAGGTCGAGTCCGGGGCGCTTCTCCAAGGTCAGCGGGCCAGCTCCCGGAGGTCCCGGGAGTGTTGGCCGGGGCCCGCCCTTCCCTTGGCTCCGGTGCGCCCAGAGCTTCGGGGCGGAACGGGCCGCGCCACACCCGGAAGGGAGACCTGGGAGCTGGCGACCCCGTCCCGCCCGTGTGCGTGGCCCGGCCCCCCGGAGCCCGCTGGGCCCGCGCCCCACCCCCGCTCTGGGGTGCGGGGTCCCGGAGGCCTGGTCGTCCCCAGGCCGCTTCCTCGCGCCCGTTTGCGGGGTCCACGGGCTCCTGTCTGCGAGAAGGTCAGCCAGACCCTGGAAGTTGGAAAGCCAGGCCGCTGTGCTCAGTGAAAGATCGATCCTGGGCGAAGTTATCCTGAGAGCCGGGGACGCCCTTGGTGATGCTAGCGCAGGCCCGAGGCTGGGGCCGGGTGCTGCGGGCTGTGCTGAACCGAGCCGCCTCTGGGCCGGCCTTCTGGCTAGCTGCGGCTGCAGGGCTGCTCCCAGGGCTCCATTCTGCACACTTCAGGATCACTTTGCCCGCTCGGGTTGGGGAGGGACCCCTGAAGTCATGCACAGGACAGAAGGGCTGCCCTGGGAATGTGACCCGGAGCAGCTTTTGCAGTGTAGGTGGGCTTTGGAGGCTAGTGCGGGAGGCAGGAACACTTGGGCAGTGGATGATGGTAGAAGTGGAGGAGCTGGGAGGGACTTGGAGGAACAGGTCATTGATGCTGGTTTCTGGCCCAGATAACCGAGTGATGATAATGCTGGGAAGAGATAGATGGGATTAGGGCTGGCAGGCGTTGGGGTGTGGCGGCTGTGACCTTCTAGACAGAGACCCTTAGAAGGTTGGGGCTCTGGAAGAGGTGAGGGCTGGAGACTCTGTGTTAGTGTTTTTTGTTTTTTGTTTGGTCATGGGGCTTGAACTTTGGGCCTAGGCTCCGTCCCTCAACTCTTCAGTTCAAGACAAGTGCTCTACTGCTTGAGCCACAGCACCACTTCTGGTTTTCTGGTGGTTTATTGGAGATAAGAGTCTCCTGGACTTTCCTGCCCAGGCTGGCTCTGAACCACAATCCTCAGATCTCAGCCTCCTGAGTAGCTAGAATTACAGGCGTGAGCCACCAGTGCCCGGCAGGATCATGTTTTCTGATCCAGGCTGCTGCTTTACATCTTTTGTTGTTTTTACTATAAAGGTGATGTACAGGGCTAGGAAAGTAGCTCAGTGGTAGAGTGCTTGCCTTGTATGCATGAGCCCCTGGGTTCCATTCCTCAGCACACATAAGCAGAAAAAAAAGGAAGTGGTGCTGTGGCTCTAGTGGTAGAGCAGCCTAGAGCTGAAGAGCTGAGGGACAGTGCCCAGGCCCAGAGTTCAGGCCCCACAACTGACAAAAAAAGTGATATACCCAGGGGTTACAGTTTCATAAGTAATGAGTACATTTCTTTTTCTTTTCTTTTCTTTCTTTCTTTCTTGGTCGTGGGCCTTGAACTCGGCCTGGGCGCTGTCCCTCAGCTCTTCAGCTCAAGGCGAGCGCTCTACTGCTTGAGCCACAGCGCCACTTCCAGTTTTCCAGTGGTTTACTGCAGATAAGAGTTTCACAGACTTTCCTGCCCGGGCTGGCTTTGAACCACAATCCTCAGATCTCAGCTTCCTGAATACCTAGGATTACAGGTGTGAGCCACCGGTGCCCGGCTTAGAGACTCTGTGAAACCATTTGTCTGTTGTAGGATGGTCCCTGTGCATGTGATTATGGTATGGTTACATGTGCAGTCTCTGCATCCTGCAAGTTGGGCATCTTCATTTCTGGGGTCAGCCCAGGAATGTGAACAGGGATCTCTGGAGTCAGAGGGTAACAACCTGAGCCTGAGCTATCTTTGTTTTATTTATTTGTTTGTTTGCTTTTTAATGCCAGTCCTGGGGCTTAGACTCAGGGCCTAGGGCTTGAACTCAGGGCCTGGGCACTGTCCCTCAGCTCTTCAGTTCAATGCGAGTGCTCTACCACTAGAACCACAGTGCCACTTCTGGCTTTTTCTGTTTATGTAGTGCTTCGGAATCGAGCCCAGGGCTTCATGTATGCTAGGCGAGCACTCTACCACTTAGCTACATTCCCAGCCTTTCATTCACTTTAAGCTTATGTCCACCCCACCGTGGCTTGTTCAGCTTTGCATGAACTGCCACTGACTGTTCAGTACAAAGAGAGACCAAGAGTCTGAGGTAGAACCTATGGGACTTGCGCTTGCTCATGCTCATAATCATGTATGTGGGGAAGCAGGAATCTGTGCTTGTTTCTTTTTGAGGGTTCCCACAAAGGCAAAAGCAAAATTGTTCTTTATGACCTGCAACTCCAGACATTCTGACCTTTCCCTGAGCTGAGTTGTTTGGAATCATAGACGTGTTCAGCCTGTGCCAGCTCATGTGACTTGATTCCCTTGGGAAAGCTCCCATGGCTCTTTGGCCATTGCTCAGGGACTGTCTCTGCGAACCTCTGCTGAAAAGTAGGAGAGTCATACTTTTGTCACTGGGATGCCAGGGGCCATCTTGCTCTGGGATGAAGCTCCAGTGTGAGGGAGCCCAGTGACACAGCGCCACGTGGCTTATGTTGAGAAATCATGTTCTCAGTGGGTGGTGCCTGACCACATCAACCTGGCTCATCAGCCCAGATTCTTGCTGGTGGTTCTGGAAGTTGGCTCTTTTCTGTGCAGTACTACCCATGCCAAGGTGGGGTGGGGTGGGACAGCTTGAGACCATGTATGTTTGAACCTCCAGGCTGGCTTATTGTTCCCTGTGGGCTATGGTATGTGTGGAACTGAAACAGAGCCTAGCAGGAATTACTAAATGTGCAACCAAGAGAATTAATCTTCATTTCATGTAATGTTAACTATGAGCTGGGTATGGAGGCACATACATGTAATCTTAGCACTCAAGAGGCTGAAGTGAGAAGAGCAGAAATTTGAGGCCAGGTTGGGCTACATAAAAAGACCTTCTAAGGAAAAAAGACCCCTTCTACCAACCTCCCATTAGTTTTATTTTTGCTTTTAAAATTTACCTACTCCTGCAAGTGGCGCTATGGCTCAAGTGGTAGAGAGCTTGCCTTGAGCCCAGAGTTCAAGCCCCATTGACAAAAAAATTACCTACTTCCTATTGCCCCCTAAATACATATACATGCTGTACAGGTGACCACGCCTGTAATCCTAGCTGAGATAGGAGGATCACAGTTTGAAGCCAGCCTGGGAAGGAAAGCCCATAGATTTTTTTTTTTTGTCCGTTGTGGGGCTTGAACTCTGGGCCTGAGTGCTGTCCCTCAGCTCTTCAGCTCAAGCAAGCGCTCTACCACTTGAGCTACGGCGCCAATTCCAGTATTCTGGTGGTTTATTGGAGATAAGAGTTTCACGGACCTTCCTGCCCGGGCTGGCTTTGAACCGTGATCCTTAGATCTCAGCCTCCTGAGTAGCTAGGATTACAGGCGTGAGCCACCAGCGCCCGGCTGTCCATAAGATTCTTGTCTCCAGTTAACCACCAGAAAACTAGAAGTGGAGCTGTGGCTCAGTGGTAGAGTGTTAGCCTTGAGCAAAAAAGTTCAGGGACAATGTCCAGGCCCTGAGTTCAAGCCCTATGTCTGACAAAAAAAAAATACATATGCATACACAAGTGCACATTCTTGCACTAGTGCTGTGAAAAGTACTTGGCCATTCAGACACATACCGACCACTTCTCAGACTCTGCCACTGGTGCCATCTTCCAGCACACAGAATAGTTCTTGTTCTTATCACATTGGATGCACTTGGAGCTTGTTGTGGGTCTGTCTTTATTTCAGGTGCTGATCATTAGCACTTACAGATGGTAGTACAGGCCCAGGGAGCTGTGTAGTAAGTGGCTCTAGTGTTGAGTCCTTAGCAAACCACAGCACCACACTCCCTGTCTGCTTTGGAAAGAGCGGTACAGACCCTATATGTCTCTTGACTATCTTTTCTAAGAATTCCTGTGTATTTTCCCTTTTTGTTGCTTAAAACATCTTAATGGTACACAGCCTTTGCATATTATTAGGCAAATCAGCTTTTGTGTGTGCGTGCCAGTCCTGGGGCTTGAACTTGGCCTGAGCACTGTCCCTGAGCTTTTGTGTTCAAGGCTAGTACTCTGCCACTTGACCCACAGCTCCACTTCTGGCTTTTTGGTGGTTGATTGAAGAGTCTCAGAGACTTTCCTGCCCCTGCTGGCTTCAAACCATGATCTTCAGATCTCAGCCTCCTGAGTGGCTGATTATGGGTGTGAGCCACTAGCATTCCAGTGCTATACCAATTTACCTTCCCACCGACAGCTTGTGCAAGGGTTCCCTTTTCTCCAGTAGTTGTTGTCTTTCCTTTTAGGTGATAGCTCCTTCCTTCCTTCCTTCCTTCTTTGCTTCCTAACTTTTCTTCCTCCCTTTTTTTCTAATTGTTAGAATTACAAGTGTGAACTACCATGTCTAGCTGGATGACCTTTTTGAGTTTCCATATATCTAGGAAATCTCTTTTGGGTACTCCAGGTCCCTATTATCAAGTCGCTTTTATCTCTGCAGATACACAGAATGTATGTTTACATGGTATGTTCATTTTCAGATATCATTTTGGTGAAGTCTTTAGTTGACATTATAGCTATCATCAAGGCACAAACTCTTGAATGGGGGTCACAAGAGGCCTTTGAGCTTCACAGGGTATTTCCTGTGTGTGTGTGTACCTGTGTGTGTCTATATGTGTGTACCTGTGTGTGTGTCTATATGTGTGTACCTGTGTGTGTTGTGGGGGGGCAGAAGCTCATAGGAGATGAGAAGCTCTTGGATTTTTCTGCCTGGAGTAGCTTGGATCTTTGATCCTTAGATTTTAGCTTCCTGAATAACTAGGATTACAGCATGAGCTACCCAGTTCCTGACTCCCTTGTAGTTTTAGTGTGCATTTTTATTTTTCTTGATTAGTGATGTTGGACTTTTTTTTTTTTTGGGGCCCGGTCGTGGGGCCTGAACTCTGGGCCTGGGCGCTGTCCCTCAGTTCTTCAGCTCAAGGCTAGCGCTCTACCACTTGAGCCACAGCGCCACTTCCGGCCTTTTTTTTCTGCTTATGTGGTGCTGAGGAATGGAACCCAGGGCCTCATGCATGCGAGGCAAGCGCTCTGCCACTGAGCCACCTTCCCAGCCCCTGATGTTGGACTTTTTATTCACATACCTATTGGACTTTGATATCTCTCTCTCTCTTTTTTTTTTTTTGCCAGTCGTGGGGCTTGAATACAGGGCCTGGGCACTGTCCCTGAACTTCTTTTGCTCAAGGCTAGCACTCTACCCCTTGAGCCACAGCACCGCTTCTGGCTTTTTCTGTTTATATAGTACTGAGGAATGGAATCCAGGGCTTCATGCATGCTGGGAAAGCATTCTTAGTAGCTAGGATTACAGGCATGAGCCACTGCACTGGAGTGGATTTATCTTCCGCCTCCTGTTCCCCTCCTCCCCTCTCCTTCCCTCCCCCCTCTTATCCCTCCTACCCCTCCCCCTTCTTCTCCCTTCCTCTTCTTCCTCCTCCCCCTTCCTCCTCCTCCTCCTCCTCCTCCTCCTCCTCCTCCTCCTCCTCTTCTTCCTCCTCCTCTTCCTCTTCCTCTTCTTCCTCTTCTTCCTCCTTGTCCTGGGGCTTGAACTAAGGACCTGGACTTTGTCCCTGAGCCTGTGTGCTCAAGGCTAGCAGCACTCTACCACTTGAGCTATAGCACCACATCTCGCTTTTTCTTTTTTTGGTCCGGTCGTGGGGCCTGAACTCTGGGCCTGGGCACTGTCCCTCAGCTCTTCCGCTCAAGGCTAGTGCTCTACCACTTGAGCCACAGCACCACTTCCGGCTTTTTTCTTTTTGCTTATGTGGTGCTGAGGAATCGAACCCAGGGCCTTGAGCATGCAAGGCAAGCACTCTACCACTGAGCCACCTTCCCAGCCCCTCGCTTTTTCTTTTCTTTCTTTTTTATTTTTTTGGGGGTCCGGTTGTGGTGCCTGAACTCTGGGCCTGGGCACTGTCCCTCAGCTCTTCAGCTCAAGGCTAGCGCTCTACCACTTAAGCCACAGCGCCACTTCCGGCTTTTTTCTTTTTGCTTATGTGGTGCTGAGGAATTGAACCCAAGGCCTCAGGCATGCAAGTACTGTACCACTGAGCCACCTTCCCAACCCCACATCTCGATTTTTCTGAGTAGTTTATTGGATATAAGAGTCTCATGGAAGCTGGGCGCTGGTAGCTCACACCTGTAATCCTAGCTACTCAGGAGGCTGAGATCTGAGGATCACAATTCAAAGCCAGCCCTGGCAGGAAAGTCCGTGAGACTCTTATCTCCAATAAACCACTAGAAAACCAGAAGTGGCGCTGTGGCTCAAGCAGTGGAGTGCTTGCCTTGAGCTGAAGAGCGAGGGACAGTGCCAAAGCCCAGAGTTCAAGCCCCATGACTGACCAAAAAAAAAAAAAAGTCTCATGGGCTTTCTTGCCCAGGTGGCTTTGAATTGTGGTCCTCGGATCTCAACCTGAGTGGTTAGGATTATAGGTGTGAGCCACTGGTGCCTGGTTAGGGCTTATTCCCTTGTTATTTCATCAGAGGTTAGCTCAAGAGGGTAAGAGGGTAAATGCTTTGGATCAACTTGCGGGCGTGCGTGCGTGCGTGCGTGCGTGCGTGCGTGCGTGCGTGTGTGTGTGTGTGTGTGTGTGTGTATGTATTGCTACTGGAACTTGAACTCAGAGCCTAGTCACTGTCCCTTAGCTTTTTGCCACACTTCTACTTTCTTCTGTGTCTCTTCTCTCCTCTCCCCCTCCCCCCCCAGGTCTGGGGCTTGAACTTAGAACCTTTTTTTGGGGGGGTCAGTTGGGGGGCCTGAACTCTGGGCCTGGGCACTGTCCCTGAGCTCTTCAGCTCAAGGCTAGCGCTCTACCACTTGAGCCACAGTGCTACTTCTGGCTTTTTCTGCTTCTGTGGTACTAAGGAATGGAACCCAGGGGCTCATGCATGCAAGGCAAGCGCTTGATATCACTTATCTACATTCCCAGTCGCATAGGGGGATATCTTGAAGATGTTGTTCCTGGTCAGGAGCTGATCGTGGCATCTTGTCTTCATTTTTCCCTGGCATAGTTAGGCAGGAGTGATGGGTAGGAGGTGATCAGGGGTGGAAGAGCTGGTGGAATCATCAGAGAACAGAGGATATGGGCATTATAGTGAAGCTAGCAGCCATGCCAATGCCAGAGTGGGGCAGTGGGCTGTCCAACCTTCCAGTTCCTTGGAGAACATGACCTAGGACGTGAGTGTGATACTGTGTGGAGATGAGGCCTTTTGTATTCAAAGGACTTTGTTCTCTGGGACCATACATGTAAGTGGTACGCAGAGGCACATAATGTGTGCAAGGTATGGTACCTTCTGCTTATCTCCTTAGAGTGAAAGGGAAGGTGCTTTAGGTGGAAGAGCTGCCATTGCTAGCCAGGACTCAGAATGTGTAGGTGCCACCATGTGCCAGTCCTGGATATACTGTCCGCTGACACCTTGCTGGTGGAGGTTGCCAGTTCAGCAATGAAGGGGAGCTGGGAGCTATCAGGGATTATGGGCCTTCATTTCATGCTGAATGGCACAGAAACTGTGGCAGAGCTATTTCTTTTCTTTTTTGGGTCCGGTCGTGGGGCCTGAACTCTGGGCCTGGGCGCTGTCCCTCAGCTCTTTAGCTCAAGGCTAGTGCTCTACCACTTGAGCCACAGCACCACTTCCTGCTTTTTCTTATGTGGTGCTGAGGAATCGAACCCAGGGCCTCAAGCATGCAAGGCAAGTGCTCTACCACTGAGACACCTTCCCAGCCCAAGGCAGAGCTATTTCATAGGACAAATTTGTTTAAATTACGTGTTTTGCACAAAGCTAATAACTGCCCAAGAACTTAGGTATTGTGGAGGCTTTTGAGTTAAATCCTGTGTTTGTTATATCAGGTTGGAGAGGACACTGCACAAGTTCACACTGGGCAAGCAGAAGCTGAGACCACGGAAATGACAGAATCCTATGTGAAGAGTGAGTGTGACGCACTTGTGGGCTGAGGAGAGCGTCTGCCTTCTGGCTGCTGGGCACTGAGGCTCTCATTGGGCTTGACACTCATCAAGGGAGGTGGGTGGTGTGGCAAGGTTGGGCACCATTGAACAGGTGTGGGGTTCACTTGCTGGTACTGAATTTGAAACCCACATGAGTATATGGCATTCAGAAATGTGGTTTGCAAAAAATCACCATTGAATAAGTATGCTTTCTCCAAGTTTTCATTAAGAGAGAAAGTAAATTAATTTTCCTAGTCTTTTGGACTGCTATAACAAAGTATCTTATGGTGGGAATTTATAAGCAATAGCAATTTGTTCTTACAGTGTAGAAACTGGGATTCTCCAGGTCAAGGCCCAGCAGAACTATCCTCTGGTGAGGCCTGGGTTCTACTTTGTAGATGGTACCTCTGTGCCCGCCTCATGGAAGGGGATGGCGGACTGAGGCACCCACTGAGCCCTTTTTTCCTTTTCGTGCTAATACTAGGGCTTGAACTCAGGCCTGAGCATTGGGGAATATCCCAACTTCCTGGGGCCGGTGAGACTCAAACCCACAACTGGTGAAAGGAGTCACCAGCACTCAGTCAAACTGGCTGCCTTTTATTAGCCACGTGGCATCTGTCCCCAGCTCGCAGGGCTTTGGAGAACAGCCCCATTTGTTTTTCGTGGGGGATTTTTATAGGAAGCGGTTTCACATAGGTGATGTTTCCCAGAGCAAGCAAGCAAGGTGCAAAAACAGGTACAAAACAGCCTTGAGTTGCAAAAAGCATAGGCAAAACATAATCTTTTTTTTTTTTTTTGGGTCCGGTCGTGGGGCCTGAACTCTGGGCCTGGGCACTGTCCCTCAGCTCTTCAGCTCAAGGCTAGCGCTCTACCATTTCAGCCAGAGCGCCACTTCCGGCTTTTTTCTTTTTGCTTATGTGGTGCTGAGGAATTGAACCCAGGGCCTCAGGCATGCAAGCAAGCGCTCTACCACTGAGCCACCTTCCCAGCCCCAAAACATAATCTTGACTTGGGTAGCATGACTAATACTATCTATGCTATTGATACTACTGATCCTTGATTACAAAAAGTAAAAACATATGCTTGGATTACAAAAGCCAAAACATAACCATGGGTGAGGATACTCTATTTTACAGAAATTATTTGTATTTTATTTATTTTTGTCACTTGTGGGGCCTGAACTCTGGGCCTGGGTGCTGTCCCTCAGTTCTTCAGCTCAAGGCTAGCGCTCTACCACTTGAGCCACAGCGCTACTTCCGGCTTTTTTCTTTTTGCTTATGTGGTGCTGAGGAATCGAACCCAGGGCCTCATGCATGCAAGGCAAGCGCTCTACCACTGAGCCACCTTCCCAGCCCTCAGAAACAATTTTTATTATAAGCTCCTGACTAATACAGCAACTCAGTACAGCTGGTGATAAGCCTCAAGGTTGTCAGTGGCCTTCACCAAGTTTGTGGTAAATTGCAAAGCTGCTAGCTTGGTAAACTTGAATGAGGGAGAGATTTTCTTTTGCTTTTTAGCAAGGATGGAAAAAGGCTTGGGCTGACTACTGGCCACTTAGCCTGAAGTTTCTCTCTACAGAGGCGTTTTACCTTTAGTATTTGGCCCCATTTTTAATAATAATTTTGTTCTGTTTCTGATTTTACATGTTACATATTGGTCCCTTAGTTTTTTCACTCAAGGCTGGTCCTGTATCCCCTGAGCCATAGCTCCACTTCCAGCTTTTTGGTGGTTAATTGGAGATAAGTCTCATAGACTTTCCTACTCTGGCTGGTTTTGAACCACAATCCTAAGATCTCAGCCTCCTGAATAGTGTAAGCCATCAGTGCCAGACTCCGCTCAAACCTTTTTGGAAGGCACTAATGACATCCTCTTTCATGATCACCACCACCCCAAAGTCTCTTTTTTCAAAACCACTGCTCTGGGGCTTAAGTCACACTTAAGTTTTGTCAGGATTGAATATCAAGGCTGCTGCAGTAGCATCCATGGGAACAGTGGGTTGAAGCCATAGGTTTAATGAAGAACTCCTGGATGCTTGGGCCTTTACCTCTTTGTACAGAAGCCCTGGTATAGATCCGGCCTCCTCAGCCAGGGCCAGAAGTTAATTGAGAGCCAGTTCTGCTCTGTCCCTGAGCTTTCACCAATTGGCCATTCTTGGTCCTGTCCTCTGAGCTTGGGGGATGCTAGAGGCCTGGAAGGGAATGGAGACCTTGAGAGGTGAAGATTGGCAGTGAAGAATTAAGGAACAGATGTGGCCCATTGGCCAGCAGGGGCAGGGTAGGGCAGGGTACCAGCAAAGTTGGGAGGAGGGAGGAGGCACATATGTACTTGCCATCCATAGCACGGACCTCTCATGCCTCCAGAAGCCAAGAGAGAGGGGTTCCTGTGGAGGAACAAGTGCAGGTGTTTTGTAAAAGTGCCAAGTTTAGTTTACTGGGAGGAGCTTGGCCTTAGAAACATCCAGATTTTACTAATTGGATCAGACTGCTTGTATAACTATTGAACCATGGGGCGGGGGAGAGCCTGGGATAAGTGCTGTTAAAAGTTCACCTTGGGGCCGGGTGCCAGTGGCTCATGCATGTAATTCTAGCTACTCAGGAGGCTGAGATCTGAGGATCACAGTTCAAAATCAGCCCAGGCAGGAAAGTCCATGAGACTCTTATCTCCAATAAACCACCAGAAAACTGGAAGTGGCACTGTGGCTCAAGCGGTAGAGCGCTCTCCTTGAGCTGAAGAGCTGAGGGACAGAACCCAGGGCCTTAGTTCAAGCCCCACGACTGACACGCGGTAGAGCGCTCTCCTTGAGCTGAAGAGCTGAGGGACAGAACCCAGGGCCTTAGTTCAAGCCCCACGACTGACACACAAAAAAAGTTCACCTTAGGGGCTGGGAAGGTGGCTCAGTGGTAGAGTGCTTGTCTTGTATACATGAGGCCCTGGGTTCAATTCCACAGCACCACATAAGTAGAAAAAGCTGGAAGTGGCGCTATGGCTTAAGTGGTAGAGAGCTTGCCTTGAGCTGAAGAGCTGAGGGACTGCGCCCAGACCCAGAGTTCAGGCCCCATGACCAACAAAAAAAAGAAAGAAAGAAAGAAAGAAAAAGCTCACATTGGCCTGGTGTTGGTGGCTCACACTTTTAATTCTACTTATTTACAAGAGGCTAAGATCAGAGGATTATTTTTCAGAGCCATCCCAGGCAGACAAATCTATGAGACTCTTTTTGCCAATTAACCAGAAAAAAAAAGGCCCAAACAAACACACCTGGAAGTGGAGTTATGACTCAAGTGATAGACCACCAGCCTTAAGTGAAAAAGCTAAGTGGAAAAAAAAAAAGCTTACCTTGGCAGGCCCTGGCGGCTCCACTCAGCTCCTCTTGCTGTTTAAAAGGAATCCCTTAACAAAAAGGAGATGAGCTGTGATCTGGTGCCTTTTTGTCCTGCTGCCTTTGGCAGATGGCCTCCTTAGGGGATATGGCATGGTGTCTATTGATGCAGAAAATCTTGTGGTGGGCATTGTTTTGCATGTTTCCTGAATGCTCATCCTGCCTTTTCTAAGTACATGGCTTGATAATCACTTGACTGTCTACAAAGCTGCACGTTCATTCCTTCATTCCTTAATTCACATCTTGTTCTGCTACGTGGCATGCTGGGGGTAGGGGTTGTGGCTCTCCCACTCTCCCCTTTGGTCATGGTGCTGGAACCAGGGCCAGGGCACTGTCCCTCAGCTCTTTTGCTCAAGGTAGTGCTCTATCACTTGAACTATAGCACCACTTCTGGTTTTCCAGAGGTTAATTGGAGATAACTCTCGTGGACCTTTCTGCCTGGCCTGGCTTTGAACTGTGATCCTTAGATCTCACCCCTTGAGTAGTTAGAATTATAGGTGTGGGCCACCAGTGCATGGCTTTTTTTTTGGGGGGGGGGGGGGAGAAGTGCAGGGGGCTGTGGTTATGGCTTTATTGCTCACTTCTGGTGTTCCTGTCCCTCTGCCTGCCTAGATACTACACATAGGAGTTGGATTATAGAGGATCCAGCCTGCTCTGAGCACATCTGTGCAGGTTCTTGGTGAAGCATGGTGGGTCTGGCCAGTCCTGGCAGGTGACCTGATAGTCTCATGATCATGGCTTAGACAGTCTTGTGAGTGTTCATTCAGGAGGTGAACCTTGTTGTCTTTGACAGGGCCTGATGGCCTTAACTGTATATCCTGGGACCTCAGTTTCTCAGTGGCAGCCAGAATGGGGTATGGTCAATACATCCAAAGGGAGGGGCTTCCACGAGAGAAGGCTGCAGTAGGTCAACATGCTGAGGCCAGCAGGCCTGGCCATTGTGCAGGGTGGTAGGGCCACTGGGCCCTGAGGCTTGGTGGATGTTGGAGGCTGCCATCTCCTGTGCTGAGTCTGTGACTCCACCAGCTGATGGGATGACTGCTGGAGTGTGTCATGAAGGTTTCAGCTCTAAGGACTCTGACTGGGCTTTGTCACTGCAGAGCTGTCCTTCACCCTGCTGGATGCCATCACTGACAAGGACCCTGTGGTACAGGAGCAGGTCTGCAGCTCTCTGTGCTCCCTCGGAGAGGCACAGCCAGGGGAGATGCTCCATGCTTGTGAGAAATACCTGCGGCAGCATGATAAGGTACCTCTCTCCTTTGTGACAGGAATGCTGGGAGCAGCCTTATCTGGAAGAGTTGGAGAGTGAAGAGTAGAGGGTTGGGTGCCTACTTGAACTGTTAGCAGAGCCGTCCCTTGAGGCCAGATGCTTGAGGGTGATGATGAAAGGTGTGGCTGAGTCCCTCCCGAGCTGGAGAGCCAGCCTGAAGGGAGCAGGGCTGTCCCTGGGGCAGCCAGGGACTGAGGAGAGGTCATTTGCTGGCTCTTTTCCCACTGAATGGCAATGGGGCTGCTCCTCTGTGTTTGGTCAGCAGCCCAGGTGCCCTGAGCTTTTACCAAGGCCCAGAAGGGCCTTAGAGGTAAGGAGCTCACCTGCCATCCCCTACCATAGAGCTGTTTTCAGAGGGAAAGGCCCATGCTGCTCTGGAATAATAGACCATTCCTCACATCCCCTGTGAGGCCTGAGAGACTTGGTTTTCTCTTTTTGGCCTTGTAGAATGTCAAATCACTGGCTCAATCCACTCTCAAAGTCCTGTTCTTTGTTTTTGTTTTGTTTTGAGATAAGATCTCACTATTGTAGCCTAGGCTGGTTATAATCCTTCTTCCTCAGCTTCCTGAATACTGGGATTACAGGCATGGACCACCATGCTCACCTACCTCACTAGCTTTCTGTCCTGTACTAGCCCTTGCATAAAGCTTCACTGTGACTACCCATTGTTCTGGCTCTCTGCTGTCTGTCTGAAATTTTATTTTATTTTATGTATGTATGTATGTATGTATGTATGTATGTATGTATGTATGTATGTATGTTAGTTGGTTATGGGGCTTGAACTCTGGGCCTGGGCGCTGTCCCTGAGTTCTTCACCTCAAGGCTAGTGCTCTACCACTTGAGCCACAGTGCCACTTCCTGTTTTCTGGTGGTTTATTAGAGATAGGAGTCTCATAGACTTTCCTGCCCAGGCTGACTTTGAACCGTGATCCTCAAGTCTCAGCCTCCTGAGTAGCTAGGATTACAGGTGTGAGCACCTGGCTGGACTTTTTTTTTCTTTTTGGCTGGTCCTGGAGCTAGAACTCAGGGCCTACGCACTGTCCCTGAGCCTCTTTGTGCTGAAGGCTAACACTCTACCACTTGAGCCACAGCCACACTTTTTCTTTTTTTTTTTTTTGTCGGTCGTGGGGCTTGAACTCTGGGCCTGGGCGCTGTCCCTCAGCTCTTCAGCTCAAGGCGAGCGCTCTACCACTTGAGCTACAGCGCCACTTCCGGTTTTCTGGTGGTTTATTGGAGATAGGAGTCTCACGGTCAGGCTGGCTTTGAACCGCGATCCTCAGATCTCAGCCTCCTGAGTAGCTAGGATTACAGGCATGAGCCACCAGCCCAGCTCAGCCACACTTTTTCTGAGTAGTTTATTGGAGATAAGGGTCTCAGACTTTTCTACTCAGGCTGGCTTTGAACTGTGATCCTTATGTCTCAGCCTCCTGAGTAGCTAGAATTATAAGGTGTGAGCACCAGTGCCTAGCTTACTACTTTGTTTAGTTTTTTTCTTTTTTTTGGGTCCGGTCATGGGGCCTGAACTCTGGGCCTGGGCGCTGTCCCTCAACTCTTCAGCTCAAGGCTAGCGCTCTACCACTTGAGCCATAGCACCACTTCCGGCTTTTTTCTTTTTGCTTATGTGGTGCTGAGGAATCGAACCCAGGGCCTCAGGTATGCAAGGCAAGTGCTGTACCACTGAGCCACCTTCCCAGCCCTCTCTCTTTTTTTTTTTTTTTTTTTTTTAAATTTAAAACTTTGCCGGGCGCTGGTGGCTCACGCCTGTAATCCTAGCTACTCAGGAGGCTTGAGATCTGAGGATCGCGGTTCAAAGCCAGCCCGGGCAGGAGAGACCGTGAGACTCCTATCTCCAATAAACCCACCAGAAAACCGGAAGTGGCGCTGTAGCTCAAGTGGTAGAGCGCTTGCCTTGAGCTGAAGAGCTGAGGGACAACTCCCAGGCCCAGAGTTCAAGCCCCACGGCCGACCAAAAAAAAAAAAAACTTTATGTATTTATTTTGCCAGTCCTGGGCTTAAACTTAGGGCCTGGGCACTGTTTCTGATCCTCTCTGTGCTTAAAGCTAGCGGTCTACCACTTGAACCACAGTGCCACTTCTAGCTTTTTGTGTTTATGTGGTACTGAAGAATTGAACCCAGGGCTTCAGGCATGCTAGGCAAGCACTCCGTCACAAAGCCACATTCCCAGCCCTTGTTTAGTTTCTCTAGCAACATAAAAACAAGTTTCATATCCTACTGTTTACACAACTGTTGAGTTGGGAGCTCTGGTCTTGATCCCCTAGGGTCTGACCTTTCCAGCCCTCCGGTGCCAGCCCCTGCACAGGGTTCTGGGAGGACTGAGCTGAAACAGTTGCCTTGCTGCATTTCTTCCTCATTACATTTTATCTGACTGATCTTGCTAGACAGCATGCATACCTCAGATCCCCACGAAATTGCTACAGGTAATGAGGAATGTTATACTCCTCAGCCACCAGATGAATTTGTATTTTGGCTATACCAGAATATTTGCTTTTTTTTTTTGTCAGTCGTGGGGCCTGAACTCTGGGTCTGGGCGCTGTCCCTCAGCTGTTCAGCTCAAGGCTAGCGCTCTACCACTTGAGCTACAGTGCCACTTCCAGTTTTCTGGTGGTTTATTGGAGATAAGCGTTTCACGGACTTTCCTACCCGGGCTAGCTTTGAACCATGATCCTCAGATCTCAGCCTCCTGAGTAGCTAGGAATACAGGCATGAGCCACCGGTGCCCGGCTATTTGCATTATTGTATCTGGGTTATACAATGTATTTCATGGTATCAGCTCCTATCTGGAGTCTATGTATGTATGGTTCTGGGGGTGATACCCAGGAGCTAGGACTAGTTGGGTATGCTGGGCAGGCTCTCTCCCACTGAGCTGCATCCCTAGGCCAAGTACAGAGGGCATGACTGCGTGCAGAGGACACTGTGATATGGTTATGTCTGTTACACCCATCCTCCTAGTTTTCAGCATGTCCAGTCTCATATACTTCAGCCAGGGTTCAGCATGACCAGCATAGGCAAGACTCCTTTAGAGAGTCAGGCCACAGGGAGGGAGGATTTGGACAGAAAAGATAAAAATAGTAAAGCAAATTTTCAAATAGTTATTTTCTCTTCCTTCCCTCCCTTTAATTTTCCTCCACTTGAACCAGTCCTGTCTGGTTTTCAGTTTCTAGAGTCCCTATGTGGTACTCACAGCACACACGTGAGTATGTAGTTCAGAGTCACTCTGTGCAAGGCTGGTGATGGTAGCTGCCATAATACTGCTCATGTGAATCCAGCTAGAAGTAGAATTGATTGCAAGGGCATGTAAAGGACAACTTCAAAAATAAATGAATACTTGATAATGCTTCGGTTGGAGTAGAGACTTCATTCTGGTCCTGGGTTGTCCTGTTAGATTTAGTAATAAAAGCAATCTCAATATCCCTCCTACATTCTGCTAACATAGTACACCTCTGTGAGTAAAGGCAAGGACCAACTGGATGCCTTGCGGCTCAGCTCTGACCTCCGTGTGGAGACAGCCTCAGATCCCACAGGGGAGGGATGATCACCAACACGAGCCACTTTATGTTTAAATTTAATTAATTAATTTTTGCCATTCCTGGGCTTAAACTCAGGGCCTGGGCACTGTCCTTGAGCTTCTTTTGCTTAAGGCTAGCATTCTACCACTTGAGCCACAGCACCACTTCTGGCTTTTTTTGTTTATATGGTACCGAGGAATTGAACCCAGGGCTTCATGCATGCTAGGCAAGCACTCTACCACTGAGCCACATTCCCCGCCACAGAGCTACTTTATTTTTTATTTTTTTATTATTTTTTTGGGGGTCCAGTCGTGGGGCCTGAACTCTGGGCCTGGGCGCTGTCCCTCAGCTCTTCAGCTCAAGGCTAGCGCTCTACCACTTGAGCCACAGCACCACTTCCAGCTTTTTTCTTTTTGCTTATGTGGTGCTGAGGAATCAAACCCAGGGCCTCATGCATGCAAGGCAAGTGCTCTACCACTGAGCCACCTTCCCAGCCCCACAGAGCTAGTTTAATAGCAAACTTCTGGTGTGGCCTTTGCTTTTGCTTGGTCAGCTACAAATTCCCATACTTCCTTGGATTCCATTAATTTGCTAAAGCAGCTCACAAAACTGAGGCCACTTCCTTGCATTTTACTAATTATGGACATGACAAAGGATACTTATGAACACCACCAGCTGGTGAGACAGGAAGGTTGAGGCTGTGGGAGGGAGCAGAACTCCCATGCTCTCCTTGGTGTACTTCCCTTCCACTCTCCTAAACCTTCAGAAGCTCCCACCCAGCATTGTTGGTTTGGGGTTTTATGTAAGCTTCACTGTGTGGACGTGACTGATCACATCATTGGCCATTGATTGTCAGCTTAATTCTCAACCCCTCTGGGTTGGGTAAGGCTGCAGGTCCTCCCTCTAGTCCTGCGTGGGCTTTCCTGTGGCCAAACCCAATCCCAGAGCCACACCAGGAACCCCAGCAGCAGTCATCTCATTAGCTTACAAAAGATTATTGGGCCGGGTGCTGGTGGCTCACGCCTAGCTCCTCAGGAAGCTGAGATCTGAGAATCACGGTTCAGAGCCAGCCCAGGCAGGAAAGTCCGTGAGACTCTCATCTTCAATTAACCACCAGAAAACCAGAAGTGGCGCTGTGGCTCAAGTGATAGAGTGCTTGCCTTGAGCTAAAGAGCTGAGGGACAGTGTCCAGGCCCAGATTTCAAGCCCCGTAACGGAAAAAAAAAAAAAAAAGAAAAAGAAAAAAGATTATTGGAAGAATTAAAGGATTTTAAGAGTTGTAGTTGTGTGCCAGAAAACCAGATGAAAACTATATATTTCACTCTGACACATTGTATGAGAGGTTAAAATTGGAATCCACTCAAGTAACACAAACAACCTTTGACATTTTAGTTCCTAGTCCAAGAGTGCACGGATAATCCTTGTGTGCAGGGGACAATGTGGCTACCCTGTGACCTTTGAGACATACGTGAAGGTCATTTTTAGGCTCGCACAACCATCATTTCAGCCCCTGACCACATCTGTGAGGTTTGGAGAAGGGCAGAGGTAGTTCTTTGGTGACATGCCAATCCAAGGAAATGGAGCCAGAATTTTGTGTGGAGCTACTGTGTGCCTATCCCTGCGCCCTGCACCTGCACTTGTATGAGGTAGAGGTGGCCAGCTTCCCACTGGAGTACCCCCAGGCTGTGATCACTCACTTAGCACAGAGCCTTGGGCCCTGATAGAAAATGCCCTGGAGTGTTGGGCCTTTGACTTCAGTCCCTGTCCAACAGAGCAGCATAAAATGGAAAATAAACCTTACAAAAAATTAGCAGCTAGGGATAATTCCACCAGGATATTTTCATTTTTTCTATTTCTTTTTTTTTTGGGTCCGGTTGTGGGGCCTGAACTCTGGGCCTGGGCGCTGTCCCTCAGCTCTTCAGCTCAAGGCTAGCGCTCTACCACTTGAGCCACAGCACCACTTCCGGCTTTTTTCTTTTTGCTTATGTGGTGCTGAGGAATGGAACCCAGGGCCTCGAGCATGCAAGGCAAGCGCTCTACCACTGAGCCACCTTCCCAGCCCTTTTCATTTTTTCTAGATAAGAGTTTTGCCCTGTATTTCCAAAAGTGATTACCACCCTTGTCTTCCATAAGAAGAGGTCCCCAGGGAGCCCTGCTGAGGTGCCTACCTATAGACGGGCAAAGGGTGACACATTCTGAGGTGATAAAGGCTCAGGGTGGCCGGGTGACCCTCTGCGTTTAAGGCACGTGTGACCTTTGTGGCATAGTCCCTCTAAGAGAAAGTAAAAGACTCTTTTGGATTGTATGACCTTGTGGCTCAACTCTACGCCCTTCCCTGGCGGCTTCTCTCCTCAGCTGGCCCATCCTTACCGCGCAATGATCCTGAGGGCCATGGAGACAGTCCTGAGCAGCCACATCCACAAGCTGGACAAAGACACAGCCAGCACTGTCATCCTCCTGGCTTCGAGTGAGATGACCAAGACGAAGGTACGGGCTCCAGCTGGGCAGGCTTAGTCTTGCTGTCAGAAGGGTGGTTCCTCTCCTTGCCCTCTCCCTCAGACTGTCAGGAACAGAGCTTGTGTCTGCCTGGCAGAGGCTAGCAGTTTTCAGAGGCAGTAGCTGAAGCAGAGAATGAAGTGTGTAAAATCAGAGCTGAGAGCCCAGGCCAGAGGCCATGTGTAGGGCTTGGGGTATCCGAGCCCTCCCTTGGACCGGGAGGCTGTGCGGCCAGCCTCCCTGAAGTGCATCCATGGGATGCTGGGACTGGGGGGGGGATGGGGGGAGGTAGCCTTGGCTGGCAGCTGCCAAGGGACTGTCTTGCTGGTGCCTCCTGGGAGGGTTCCGGGAAAGTTCTACCCATGATTTTTTTGGGTACAGGAACTAGGCTGTGACTGGCAACAGGCTGCAAGCAATGTCCTGGTGGCTGTGGGGAAACAGTTTGTCAACCAGGTGATGGAGGAGGTTCTCAGGAGGTTCCAGCCTGGGGTTCTGCCTCACTGCTCAGTGCTACAGACACTTGCCAGCCTCTCAGTGTCCAATGGTAGGTACCAACTTTACCCTGGCCTCCTGGTGCCCCTAGTAGGTCTGAGAGCCCCTGGGGACCAGTTGGTGGTCTTAGCATTCTGCCTCCTGCTCAGGCTGGCAGGTGTGCGAGGTGTGCGGGTGGAGCTCTAAGAGCCCTCTCCTTGTCCTGTTCTGAGGAGGGCAGAGATTGGCAGGGCCCAAGGTCCATTTGAAACCCTTCTCTTGTAGTTTTTGGCATGGTCCCCTTCCTGCCGTCTATCCTGAGCACCATGCTGCCCATGCTGGGCATGGCAAAGCAGGACGCGATGAGGGTGGTGTTCTGTTGCGGTAAGACAGTGGGACCTTTTCTGTCCCGGGGACCTCATGTGGGGGTTGTGTATGAGAAGCGCTGGTTGTGGTGGACACGGGCTATACAATGGGTACAGGAAGGCAGGTAGACAGTTGGACAGAGGATCCTTCCCTGAATGAGCCACTAACAGACTCCTAGACTGACCTGGGCCACAACTCTCCATATCTCTCCCCATTTCCAGTTGGCAAGGTGACCATTTTCTTGGTGTCTTGGAAATGTGTTATAGAAAGTCTGTCTTTACTGTCCTCTAGCCTCTAAATTGCTATGCCCTTGAGGCTGGTATCTGTAGCCTTCTGTGTGCTGATAGAGCATACGGGCATGTCACAGTATGGGCCCTATATCAGCAGGCAAAGAGGCCCCTGGAGGGGGGAGAGCTATACTTCTTGCTGAAAGAGGGAGCAGAAGGTTCCCAGGACTTGAGACCCTGGGCCTGCAGCAGCCTCCTAACACACCCTTTGGCTCTCCATGTCCCTGCCTTCCTTGGCAGCAGAGCTGTGGCTGTGGTACCTGGTGGAGAGATACCCCTAGAGCTCAGCTTCTTATTCACACCAAGCCCTCCAGAGCAGAGTTCTTTAGAAGGTTCCCTTTCTTGCGCTAAGCCTGAGCATCCAAGCCTATAATTCTACTTGGTAGGCAGCTAGATTGGGTGAGTGGAGGCTAGCCCAGGCAAAAATGTTTTCAAGGCTTCATTCTGACCCATGGCTAGACACGGTGGTGTGAACTTGTCATCCTAGCAACATGCAACATGGGGGAAGTGAAACTCCTATCTTGAATGAACAGCCCACAAAATGGGCTGGTTGAGTGGCTCAAGTGGTAGAGCACCTGCCTTAGAAGTGTGAGGCCCTGAATTCCAGCCCTAGTATCCTCCTCCCCCCACATACACACGCAAAAAGGTCCCCATCTCATTCTCCAGTGATGGGTGAGGCTTGGTGACTGGGAGGGTGCCAGGAGTGCCTGAGCTTTATGCAAGAAGGTGAGGAGGCTGGGGCCCGCCCCAGCTCCAGTAGCATGGGTATGGAGTCCAGCGTCCCCGACCCCAGCCGAGGCACCACGACCTGCTGTCCCTACCTCATGGTCCTGGGGTTGTCGACCTCTCCCCTTACGGCCTTATATTCATCTGTTCATGGCTGGGAGCAGGGCGAAAGAGGTGGAACCCTGCTTGACTTGGACCTGGGGTAACCATACATGCAGATCGTGAGGACATGGATTGGGGGTTAAAGGGGCTCACCCAGGTGGGGGCCACCGAGGTTTTCTGAGGAGGAAGAGAAAGAGGAGAAAGAGCGGGAGGAGGAGGAGGAAGAAGAGGAAGAGGAGGAGGAAGGGCGGAAGAAGAGGAGGAGGAAGGGAAGAGGAGGAGGAAGGGAAAGTGAGGCGGAGGAAGAAGAAGAGAAGGAGGAAGGGAAGAGGAGGAGGAGGCGGAAGGACACAGCATAAGGCACTGGCTACTCTTCTTTGGTGTCCCTGCTGGGCAGGACTTGCTCTAGGTCCTTCTGTCTGCAGCATGGAGGCAGACTGGCCTGCAGTCGCTGTCCAGTCCTGCCTCGTGGTCACTCTTGTAGAAATGTGTTTTTTTTTTAAATTCTTCCATAAAGTGAGGAAAATAGGGAAAAATGTCAACCATCTGCACCAGTAAATAATAACTACTAATATTACATATTTTCTTTTTTTTTTTTTGTCCGGTCGTGGGGCCTGAACTCTGGGCCTGAGCGCTGTCCCTCAGCTCTTCAGCTCAAGGCGAGCACTCTACCACTTGAGCCACAGCGCCACTTCCGGCTTTTTTCTTTTTGCTTATGTGGTGCTGAGGAATCGAACCTAGGGCCTCATGCATGCAAGGCAAGCGCTCTACCACTGAGCTGTCTTCCCAGCTCAATATTACATATTTTCATTAATTAAAAAATAAAACCTATTGGAGGTGCAAGGCAGGAGCACATGGTGGCTTCAGACCTCAGCCTCCTCCCAGTGCACACTTGAACGTGGTCACTCTTGTGAACTGCAAACCTTCCCACACATACTTCTATTTATTTTTATTTTTTTTAATTTTTAAAATTAAAAAAAAAATTTTTTTTTTGGTCCTGGGGCTTGAACTCTGGGCCTGGGCTCTGTCCCTCAGCTCTTCAGCTCAAGGCTAGTGCTCTACCACTTGAGCCACAGCGCCACTTCTGGCTTTTTTCTTTTTTTGCTTATGTGGTGCTGAGGAATCAAACCCAGGGCCTCAGGCATGCAAGGCAAGCGCTGTACCACTGAGCCACCTTCCCAGCCCCCACTTCCAGTTTTCTGAGTGGTTTATTGGAGATAAGAGTCTCACGGACTTTCCTGCCTGGGCTGGCTTTGAACCATGATCCTCAGATCTCAGCCTCCTGAGTAGCTCGGATTACAGGTGTGAGCCGCTGGCACCTGGTGATATTTTGATTTTATGAACTAAGGTCTGGTTATCTAGCTGAGGCTGAACTGGAATTTACACTCCTTCTGCCTCAGCCTCCCAGGACAGGGATTACAGATGCGCATCAGCTCCGCAGGGACTCTTTAGCTGCCTTCTTGTCAGTTATGCTGTCCACACAAGTGGAGCTCCTGCCCCCGGCTGCTAGAGGACACAGTAGTCCTATTGGCTGAAGCAGTCTGCAGCCAGCCTCATCCATGATGACCAAGCATGAGACCTGGGTGGGTCAGTGAGAACAGAGGTAACTGGTTCTGGACATAAAGGGGCTGGAGCAGAGGAGGCTGGTGATGCTGTGAAGAATAAGAGCTGGTCACACTGAGGCCAGGTCGGACTGGCACAGCCAGTCTGATAATGCCACTCCACAGGCCAGACAGCCTCTGTCATCTGAGGGAAGTCTGATAGGGAAGGTGGCAGTAAAATAAAGTGGCCAGGTATACATACAGTGCAGGGAACAGAAAATGGGCAAGGGAGAACCCTGGTTAGTATCCCCAGGAGCTCAAAGGAGAGAAAGCAAGAGCATGTCACTAGGAAGAAACAATATCCAGAGGATAAAGCTGTACTTTATGGAGTTAAAAACTGTAAGAGAAGTGGAAAATGGGAAGACTGGGAAGAGCAAGTTGAAGAAGCCTCTGAAAAAGTCAAGATGCAGAGTTGTAGGAACTGGAGAGGAAGAGCAAAGAGAGTTAACAGGTGAGAAGAGAGTGCTTTTAGTCCCAGGCACCCAGCAACTGCACACCTGTTCTGGCATGCTGGTGAGGAGCCAGTACAGCCTGGGGTTTTGGCAGTTCCCTCTACTCAGTGGTCAGTACTGCACAGTGCCATAGGAGCCTATACGCTAGATCATAACCACCTTACACTGTCCACCTGAGGTAGAACAAAAGCTTTTCAGAGAAGTGGAAACTCAGATGCATCTCCATTGAGTCTTTCCCAGAGCAACTAGAGAGTGAGCTATATTTCCCTGTCAGACTTAGAAGCAAGATGCCTGGGCATATCCAAGCCTGCATGGTGTGGGGGACTGGGGCACATAAGTGACAGCTACTGGCCGGGCCACACAGAGACCAGCACGAGAGAATGGATCCAGCCACAGCACAGTTTAAAGAGTGAGTGCTTGTGAGCAGCCACCTCTGAACTGTGCTCAGGGTCGGCCAGGCCAGCACATGTTGCCGCGAGGTTGATGACTGAGGCACCTAGCCTTGGGGCAACTATGTTTCTGGGAGGGATGAAGTCCCACCCAGAAAGGGTGTGCATTGTTCTCTGAATCTGAGTGTGCAAATCTTTGATTAAAACTTGAAACTTGGGGCTGGGAAGGTGGCTCAGTGGTAGAGCACTTGCCTTGCATGCCTGAGGCCCTGGGTTCGATTCCTCAGCACCACATAAGCAAAAAGGAAAAAGCCGGAAGTGGCGCTGTGGCTCAAGTGGTAGAGCACTAGCCTTGAGCTGAAGAGCTGAGGGACAGTGCTCAGGCCCAGAGTTCAGGCCCCACGACTGGATCCCCCACCAAAAAAAACAAAACTTGAAACTTGCAGCTAGGCACCGGTGGCTCACACCTGTAATCCTACAGGAGGCTGAGATCTGAGGACCATGGTTCAAAGCAAGCCTGGACAGGAATATCTATGAGACTGTTGTCTCTATTTAACCATCAGAAAACTAGAAGTGGCTCAAAGTGGCAGAGGGCTAACTGTGAGCAAAACAGTTCAGGGATACTGCCCAGGCCTGGAGTTCAAGCCCCACCACCGACCAGAAATAAAACCTGCTGAGTAGCAGTAGCTTACATCTGCAACCTTGCAACTTAGGAGGCTGAGATCTAGAGGTTTTTGGTTCAAAGCCAGCTGGGGCAGAAAAGTCCATGATTATGTCTTTAAAATGAGTTGAAAAAATGAGTTTAAAAAAAAATTCAATGGAGAGGTGGCTTAAGTAATAGAGCTAGAAGCTGAGAAAGCTTGCTAAGTGAGTGTGAGGTCCTGAGTTCAAACCCCAGTATCGCAAAAAAAAATCCAAACAAAAAACCCCAGACAACTCAAAACCTAACTGGTTTGTGTGTGTGTGTGTGTGATTTTGTTGTGGCTAAGGGAGACCCCTGGTTAATATCCCCAGGAGATCAAAGAAGAGAAAGCAAGAGCACTTTGATTGCCTATTATTTGAAAAAGGCTTCCTGCTGCTAAGGAGCTGGTTGTGCCTGCCAGGCTACTAGGGTCCTTTGGATTGGAAAGGGAATTGTGGGGCCCATGGAGGATACAGGAAGCACCAAGTTCTCCCTCCTAAGAATTGACATCATGGTTTATTCCTGTGATAGAAGGTTCAGGCTTATCCCTCCTGCTAGAGTGTGTGTGTGTGTGTGTGTGTGTGGGGGGGGGGGGGGGTCCCTGGCAGAAGCCTCACAAGGGAGCTGCAGGGTGGCCAGTGTCCTGCTGAAGTCAGCTGCAGCAGTGGACCTGGCCCTGGCTGAGGGAAAGCTGTCAGTCATCATTACACACATGTCAGCCCAGTACAGAGCAGCTCTGGGAAAAACAAAACAACCAAAACGCTTGGAATGAGCATAAGACAGTAGGAAGGAGCCGGGCACTGGTGGCTCACACTTGTAATCCTAGCTACTCAGGAGGCTGAGATCTGAGGATTGGGTTCAAAGCCAGCCCGGGCAGGAAAGTCCGTGAGACTCTTATCTCCAATAAACCACCAGAAAACCGGAAGTGGAGCTGTGGCTCAAGTGGTAGAGTGCTCGTCTTGAGCTGAAGAGCTGAAGAACAGCGCCCAGGCCCAGAGTTCAGGCCCCACGACTGGCAAAAAAAAAAAAAAAAAAGACAGGAACAAACTAAGACACGAGCATGTTCTATTACAAAAGGGCCAAATGCAGGTTTCAGAACTAAACCTCCTAAGTGTTCCGTTAGAGTAGTAAGTGGATAGTGTAGATACTAAGCAGGACCAGGCAAGGTCTTTGAGACCCGGAGGACAGAGACTCCAGTGGGTCTCCGGTGCTTTTGGAGCGTCCCTACAGGAAAGATGGACCCTAGTGGGTGCATATGTGCACTGGTGCATTCAACAACGTGCACTCTGAAGTAGCCATGGGATGCTGTTGGATGCCATACCCCTGACCACTGACCCCTGAGCCAAGGACCTGTCCCTAGAGCCCTGAAACCCCAGGGCAGGAGGAAGCCATGAGACTGAAGAAGAGTTTGCCATAAGAGCCACCATCTGTGGGGCTGGGAAAGAGGCTCTCAGGGTCTTGAGCCAGTGAGATGGGGTGCATCGCAGCCCGCAGTCCATAGCCAGTGTTAGGCCTGGAGTGTGGCCTTGAAAGGAGGACCACACTGTGAACTTTCCTCTGTGCATAAAAGTGCTGCCTGGCTCTAAAAAGCATCACTGCAGGGCTGGAGATGCATCTCAGCATTTCCCTTTGCCATAGGCCCTGCCAACCCAGAGCAAATGAAGACAGTTGCCTTGTTCTTTCTGATCCGAGGATGACATCACCTGCTAGTGTTAGTGGGATAGCTTTGGATCCATGAGTCAGGGCCACTTTGGCAGGACACAGTAGCCCTTGATGTTCTAACTAGCTCCAGAATGTGAAAAACAGATGGTCCTGCCTCAGTGGTCCCCTGGGGTTCTGTGATCTCTTCCTTGATCCAGGGCCCACCCCCGCAGATCATTAGCAGATCTTCACATGAGCCAGGTCCTTGCTTGATCTGTCACCTAGGCTCTGCAGAGCCTGGTGTAGGAGGCCACCGCCCAGGACTCCACTGTGCTAGTGGTGGTCTCAGGCTCCACACCCCAGCCACATTGCCCTGCTCTGACAGTCCTGGTGGTGGTGTCGGGCCTGCTGCCTGGCTCTGTGCTCCCTGCAGCTCCTCCACACCTCAGCCTGGGGTGAACACAAAACCTTTTGACAGTGTGTGGCTGGAGCCTGTCTGGGGGAGGGTGGGCTGATGCTACTTTGTTTTATCTGCACAGCAGAGGAGGGGGTAGAAGGCATTGCAGGAACGTTGACCTTCAACTTCCTGGGACCGCTGTAAGAAACCACAAAGGCTGGTAGCAGATGCTTCACTGTCTTAGTCTTAGTTCAGGAGGCCAGAAGTCCAGAAGAGGATGCTGATTCCTTTTGAGGGGCTCAGAAGAAGAAAATCTATTTCCTGTCTCTAACTGACTCTCTCAACACACTCTTTTTTGGTGGTGGTGGTACTGGGGCTTGCACCTCATGCTTGCAAGGCAGTTGCTTTACCAACTGAGCCACACTCACTCTCCCACTATGCTTTTGGATTTTTTTTTCAGAGAGGTTCTCACTTTTTGCCCAAGCCAGCCTTGCATCATAATCTTCCTACTTACCTATACCTCCTGCCTAGCTGGGATTATAGGCATGAACCACTATACCTGGCCTCTCCAGACCTCTAGTGATGGTTGTGGGTCCCTCTGCCTTAGTGCATCCTCTGATCTCTGCCCCTGTTGCACATGGCTGTCCTCACCCCTTTTTTCTCCCTCCCTCCCTCCCTCCCTCTCTCTCTCTCTCTCTTTCTCTCTTTCTTTCTTTTCTTTCTTTTTTGGCTAGTCCTGGGGCTTGAACTCAGGGCCTGGGCACTGTTCTGAGCTGCTTTAGCTCAAGGCTAGTGCTCTGCCACTTGAGCCACATGCATTTCTATGTATGTGGTACTGAGGGCTACATGCATGCTAGGCAAGCACTCTACCACTGCACCGCCATCCCAGCCTTTTCTCCTTTTCATACAGGCAATGTCCTATAGTGTTCAGGACCCTCCTCCTCTGTACAACCTGTCCTAAGTTCTATCTGCAGCTACCCTGTTTCCACACAAGGACACATGCTGAGTTTCCTGGAAGAACGTAAATTTGGGGAATCTTGGTCATCCTAGTGTGGTCCTAGGGTCTCCACTTGCCCAGTTGTTCAGGGATGCCCCTGGGCAGTAGGGAGCCGGCATGGCCCAGGTTCCATCCACTCCCTGGGCCATGTCAGCTCTCCAGCACTTCAGCGAGAGCACCCTGGAGTACTTGGCCAACCTGGACCAAGCCCCGGATCCCACCGTCAGGAAGGACGTCTTTGCCACTGACATCTTCAGCGCCTACGACATCCTTTTCCACCATTGGCTGCAGAGCCGAGATGCTAAGGTACTGTGGTGGCCCTACAGAGACCTGGAGCCTGGGCTTAACCTAGCTACCCCTCTCCTTCCCTAGGCCTGGCCCAGGCAGCAAGGGCTCTTGTGGTCTCTGCTCTGCTAGGTAGTCCCGAGTTGGGGAAAGCAGGCCAAGCCATCTGCCTCTGCCTGCTGCTATGGTGCTGTCCTCCATCTAGTGCCCTATCCATATCTGCTAGCCTGCTCTAGAGCTTGTCCTGTTCCCAAGAGCCTGTAGTCCCGAGGCTCAGTCATTGTGGTTCTTCTCTGGCTGCCCCTCTGCTTGGAAACTTGTGGGGCCGGGGGCAGCATTGCCTCCTTCCTGCCCCCAGCACTGTCCAGCCCTTTGCTAGGCCACCCTGTAGCCAGCCTCTAGCTACTGGATCTAAGCACTTCGTATCTTAGCACCATTAGGACCCACTGGTGCCTTTGTGTTTCCTCTAAATGGAAAAGCTCTGGTTGTCTCCTCAGCTTCGGCTTGCAGTAGTGGCAGCTCTTGGGCCCATGAGCCACCTACTGCCCAGTGAGAAACTGGAGGAGCAGCTTCCCAAGCTCCTCCCAGGAGTCCTCAGCCTCTATAAGAAGCATGCAGAGACTTTTCAAGTGTCCAAGGTATGCCCAGGGACCTGAGGACCCTCAAGTCGGGCCCATGGGGTGGCCCTGAGGTAGGACTGGGGGGGGGGGGTGAGGGTTGCCCCTTTGCATTTCTCTACCTTCTGTATCCTTTGGATTCTGGAGGTTAAGGGAGAGCCTTATTTGAGCTCCCAGGTAGGAGTCTGGGCCTCCGGGGCCTCTCCTTGTGGCCGGTATGCTGTCGTGGGTCCCACAGTCACCCTGGGAGGTAGGAGCTGGACTGAAGCCCTCTCCTCCCTGTCGAGCAGAGCCTGGGCCAGATCCTGGAGGCAGCAGTGAATGTGGGCAGCCGTACCTTGGAGGTTCAGCTCGATGCCCTTCTGGCGGCTCTGCATGTTCAGGTAGCTGCATGTTTAAGGCAGGCGGGGTGGATGGATAGATGAAGTGTTGCAGAGCTGGTCCCCTCAGGAGGTTCCCTCGTGAAGGGCGCGGGAAACATGATTGGGAGGTTCAGCCGTACAGGATCATGGAGTGAGCTTCCCTGAGGCGAGTGGGTAGCCCAGCAAGGTCCACATAGGCCACATGGAGCCCCACGTGGAAGTGGAAGGATTGGATGGCCTGCTAGGCCCAGTATGGCACTAGAGGCTGACTCAAGAGGCCTCAGAGAGAGTTGAGCATGCTCAGCAGCATACTGCTGTGTGGCAGTAGTCCAGAGAGGTCAGGTCCCTGACCTCTCTGGGTCCCTGAGGGTCTGAGCCAAAGGGCTGAGGGAGAGACCTGGGGGCTGCAGTTAGGTGTATCCAGCTGAGGAGCCTGGGTTCCAGGGCTGAGGGCAGGGCCCAGGGTTTGGAAGGTTCACTGTGGGAAGCATTCTGAGGGGAGGACTGCTAGATGCAGTGTGTGGAAGCACTTATGAGCCAGCAGTATAGCTGAGGGGCCATGGGACTTTGTGGGTGCGAGAGAAGAGGAGCAGGATGGTGGGCAGCACCGTGGTGGGCCCTCAAGGCTGCTCTGTGGGAGGTGGCGTGCACTCCCACCCCTGCCCGTTCCCCGCCCAGCTCCTTCATCAGTGCCATCCTGCCTTGCCACTTTTGTGGTGGTGGTGGAGCTTGAACTCTGGGCCTGGGCACTGTCCCTCAGCTCTTCAGCTTAGGCGATCACTCTACCCCTTGAGCCACAACACCACTTCCAGTTTTCTGGTGGTTTATTGGAGACAAGAGTCTCATGGATTTTCCTGCCCAGGCTGGCTTTGAATTAGGATCTTCAGATCTCAGCCTCCTGAGCAGCTAGGATTTTACGTATGAGCCACCAGCACCCCACTTCCTTCCTTTCTTTTTCTTCAAAAAAAAAATTCTGAATGAATGGAATCAGTAAGTGTTCTGACTTCAGCTGGTGGCTCTATGACTAGAAGTGCATTCTATGGCAGTATGAGACTTCCCTTTCTAATGAGATGTCCCTTAGGGTCTGTCTTTCTGCTGATAGAAGAGAGGGAGCTTTCCATTGAGGCTTGAGGGCCTGCCATGTGTCCCTGAGGTGCCGTCCCTTCCTTTCCCTAGCTGCCCGTGGCCAGAAGCTCAGAAGCCCTTCTGCTGATGAGCATATGTATTTTGTAGCTAGGGCCTGGGCATTCCTACTCCTAGGTGAGGAGGGGCTAGAAAGTGACCTTCCCAGAGCTCTGGGCTTAGCTCCTCAGCCCAGCACCAAGAGTGGACACATCTTTCTAGCACAAACAATCCCTGAAAATCTAGTGATTGCTTTCTATAGTGAGTGCTCTCTATAACCTCTGCCTTGCTTCCTGGAACAGATTTGTGTACCTGTGGAGTCCACTAGTCCCCTGGTGATGAGCAGCCAAAAGGAAGTTCTACGCTGCTTCACGGTACTGGGTGAGTAGCTGTGGTGGGGGAGGATCTGTGCACAATGTGGGCCTTGGAGGACATGCTGGGATCATTTACCCTCTGTGTAGTAGGAGGTAATAGCTGTACATGTTCGGAGGTGGGTGAAAGGGCTCTTTCATTAGGCACTGGTGCCCATTCCCTGAGCTCAAGTCCTAGGATCAGTACAGAGAGAGAAAAAAATGACTTGACCAAAAAAAGAAAAGAAAAGAAAAGGCTCTTTCTACCTCTGTCTGAGGGTTCAGGAACCACAGCTAGGGTCTGTCCTCAGTGGAAACCCTATGCACCTGTCACCACGGGCATGCACTTGCTGGCCTTGATCCTGTCCTTCCCCCGCCCAGCCTCTGTCCTTCTTCCATGGCCTGCTCCTTTGCACCTCTCACTCTGGCTTCTGGTCAGCACATGACTGCCTCACCCTGGCCATCAGTGTGGCGTCCCTGACAGCTAGAGATAGTGTTGTCAGTCAGTGCCACCATTGGTGCCAGAGGTCTCAGCAGAGCACTGGTCCACCAGCCCCATCCCTGGCCGCTGCACCTGCTCAGGGCCTGGTCAGGCAGACACACAGGACCTTCTAGCTGTCTCAGGCCAGTGGCATCATCATCCACCCAGGCCCAGGAGGGCGGGGAGGCCAAGAGACTGTTCACCTGGCCCTAGGTGTGGTCAGGGGGAAAACATGTCTGACTGATTTGCAAAGGTGAAGGAACCTGACAAGGTTGTTGCTGGAAAGTCGCCATTAGCAGCAGTCAGAGGTCCAGGCTAGTGGCCTGTAGTATAGTGTGGCCTGCTTTGGTCCTGTGGAGGCGAAGAGTGTGTGTGTGTGTGTGTGTGTGTGTGCATGTGTGCGTACGCACGTGCATGTGTGCATGCACTGAAGTAATTACCCAACTATAGACCAGGTTGGAGCCAGTATGGACACTGAGAGACCCCTTGTGGGCTCCCCATGAGTTTGGGAAGCTAAAATGGCTCCCACATCCTTCTAGGTCCTGAGTCTGAGTCTAGGTGCACTATATATTACTGACCTACCTGTGCCAGGTCTGCCTGAGTTCCAACTCCTCATCTTTAGATGAGCACCCCAAGAAGGCCTCAAGGTGTAGCTGATTGGCCAGGGAGTTACAACTTCCCACAATCCCCACAGTGAGTCTTTGCTCCTCCTTGGTGCTGGGAAACTCTAGGTACAGTATGATCAAGACAGACAAACTTGAGTACAGGCATAGAGCAAGGAACAGAGACCATTAGGAGCAGTGCCTGACATGCGTGTTGCTCTGTAGCCTGCTGCTCACCTGACCGCCTGCTGGCCTTTTTGCTGCCCAGGCTGGACACCAATAATGAGAGGCTCCGTGTGGGCACCCTACAGATCCTGAGGCACGTCATCAACTCAGCCGGTGAGTGTACCTATGGGCATGCACCTACACAAGCTGTGTCCTAGGTGAGGTTGGGCCAGGAAAGTTGGATGGGTACTAGTCATCTTTTACTTGAAAAGGCACTGAGCTTTAAATTCTTCTTTTTTATTTTGGTGGTTCTGGGAATTGAACCCTTGGCCGTGTGCATGCTGGGCAAGTGTTCTGCTGTTGAGCTACACCCTCAACCCTAAATTTTCTGCTACAAGGCTACTTGATGAGCCTTCTGCCTGGAAAAGGTGGTCACCTGTTTCCATCTGTCTTTGTGCTTCATACCCTCTTACAGGAGGGGTGTTAGAATAGGAGGCTGAGCAAGGTGGAGCCCCTTGCTGAGGCTCATCTGGCAGTAGCACTCTACCCAATAGCACTAGAAATTGAATTTTCATGATGTTGTTGTTGTTCTTTTTTTTTTTTTTTTGTATACCTACTAGAGTTTGAACTCAGGATCTTGAGTCTCTCTGCATTTTGGCTCAAGGCTGGTGCTCTGTCACTTGAGCCACAGCTCCACTTCTGGTGTTTTAGTGGTTAATTGGAGATAATTGTTACAGACTTCCTGTCTGGACTAGTTTCAAATCACGTTCCTTACTCAGATCTCAGCCTCCTAAGTAGCTAGGATTATAGGCATGAATCACTGGTACCTGGCTCAGTTCCGAGTTTATATTGGTTAATTTTGAGTCTTGAAGATTTTTCTGTTTGGGCTAGCTTTGAATTATCCTCAGATCTCAGCCTTCTGAGTAGCTAAGATTACCAGCATGAGCCAATGGTGCCCAGCTTGTTTTAAATTTTTTTATTTTGAAATATAGCTCATGTATAGAAAAAAATTCAGCCAGGTGCTGGTGGCTCATGCCTATAATCCTAGCTACCCAAGAGGCTGAGATCTGAGGATCTCGGTTCAAAGCTAGCCTGGGCAGGAAAGTCTGAGAGATTCTTTTATCTCTAACTAACCACCAGAAAACCGGAAGTGGTGCTGTGGCTTAAGTGGTAGAGTGCTTGCCTTGAGCTGAAAAGCTCAGGGACATTGCCCAGGCCCAGAGTTCAAACCCCACAACCGACAAAAAAAAAAAAGACAGATATATTATTACATAATAAATATTAATAAATATACAATTGGTGGGTGTTGGTGGCTCATTCCTGTAATCCTTGCTACATAGAAGCCTAAGATCCTGAGGATTGGTGTTCAGAACTAGTCTGGGCAGAAAAGTCTGTGAGACTCTTAGCTCCAATTTAGCAGCAAAAAGTAGGAAGTGGAGGTTTGGCTGAAGTGGTAGATTGCCAGATGAGTGAAGAAAAAAAACAAATCAAGAGTGCAAAACCTGAGTTCAAGTCCCAGTACCAGCAAAAGATAAAATAATAAGATAAACATGCAGTGATCTCTGAAGAAGGCGTCCACCGTTAGCACTGCAGCTTCCAAGTTCTGCATCACTGGGCCTTCCAAGCTCCCACCTGGCTAGGGAGCCCAGTTATGTAGGCACCTTTAAAACAAATGTGGTGGAACCAGGGTTTCAATGCTTTGCTTTTCTTTCTTTTCTTTTTTTGGGGGGGGTGAGGGGGAGTTCGGTCATGGGCTTGAACTCTGGGCCTGGGCCTTGTCCTTTAGCTCTTCAGCTCAAGGCTACACTCTACTACTTGAGCCACAGCACAGCTTCCGGCTTTTTCTGCTTATGTGGTACTGAGGAATCAAACCCAGGGCCTCATGCATAAAAGGCAAGTGCTCTACAACTGAGCCACCTTCCCAGCCCCAGATTTCAATTTTTTTTTTTGTTGGTCGTGGGGCTTGAACTCTGGGCCTGGGCGCTGTCTCTCAGCTCTTCAGCTCAAGGCGAGCGCTCTACCACTTGAGCTACAGCGCCACTTCCAGTTTTCTGGTGGTTTATTGGAGATAGGAGTCTCACAGTCTCTCCTGCCCGGGCTGGCTTTGAACCACGATCCTCAGATCTCAGCCTCTTGAGTAGCTAGGATTACTGGCGTGAGCCACCAGCGCCCGGCTCAGATTTCAATTCTTAAATGATCTCTTTACACATAATTTTGACATACATATATGACAAAACAGATTAAAATTTACGTACTAGATTAGCCAAAGTTTTTTCAATGCTGGTCCTGGGGAAGAGAATAGAATAGCCCCTCTTGTCAGGTGCCAGTGGCTTACGACTGTAATACTAGCCACTCAGGAGGTTGACATCTAAGGATTGAGGTTTGAAGCCAGTCTAGATAGCATGGTCTGAGATATGCTTATCTCCAGTTAACAACAAAAAGCCAGAAGTAGAACTGTGACTGAAATGGTGTAGCACTAGCCTTGAGCAAGAGAGGTGGGCTGGGAAGGTGGCTCAGTGGTAGAGCGCTTGCCTTGCATGCCTGAGGCCCTGGGTTCGATTCCTCAGCACCACATAAGCAAAAAGAAAAAAGCCGGAAGTGGTGCTGTGGCTCAAGTGGTAGAGCACTAGCCTTGAGCTGAAGAGCTGAGGGACAGCGCCCAGGCCCAGAGTTGAGTCCCCACGACCAGACCCAAAAAAAAAAAAAAAGATAAAAAAAAAAAAAAAGACAAAAGAGGCTCAGGGACAGTGTGAAGGCCCTGAGTTCAAGCTGTAGGACTAGCAAAATAAATAAATAAATAGGGTCTGGGAAGGTGGGTCAGTGGTAGAGCACTTGCCTTGCATGCATGAGGCCCTGGGTTTGATTCCTCAGCACCACATAAGCAAACAAAAAAAAAGCCGGAAGTGGCGCGACTGGACCCCCCCCTAAAAAAATAATCCTCCCTTGTAAAAGGGGGTATAGTAGGAGTGGAGCTTAACTTCTGAGTCCTTCCCTTTGTGGTATGATTTTCTCATCTCCTCGCCTATCCTGTCTCAGTACATCCAGTTGTTTTTATCCCTTTCTCATGAGGACTAAGCTACAAAGGGCAGGGCTGCACGTGCCTTGCTGTATGTCTGAGCTGAGCGCTCTATAGAGGACTTGGCAGGTGCTTGGCCTTCATCCATTGGAAGAAGTAATAAATAATAAAAGATTGCCAACCAAACATACCACATGTTAAACATCATGTGTGGCAAGATGACCATGGCTTTTTTTCTTTGGACTTTTTATGGTTATTTTGAACCTTCAGAGACACGGGGCTGGGGCAGAAGTCCTCTGGCCTTTTGCCAGAGGTACAGCTTCAGCCTGTGCTTTCATGAAGGGCCCTCCCGAGCCCGGTCCTGTGTCCCTCATGTCCTCCTTTGTGTTCTTCTGGGAGGCGCCTGCTCAAAGCTCATGCCTATTTTTCTTTTCTTTTTTTTTTTGGGGGGGGGTCCATCATGGGGCTTTACCTCGGGGCCCGGGCACTGTCCCTGAGCTCTTTTGCTCAAGGCTAGCTCTTTACCACTTTGAGCCTGTTGTTAACCACAACCAGGGGTTGTGGTTGCACAATGGGAGAAGAACTGAGAAAGGAGAGAGAGGGTAGGAAAGCGGGCAGCAGTGTGTCCTGCGTTCACCAGCTTCTGAAGCCTGAGCTCCCGCTAGGAAGCTCATTTATTTAGCTCAGTACCGGGTGACCACAGGTACGTGAAGAAACCAAAGTATCAGTCTGTGGTTATGACCATTGGCATGAGGTCTGGTTTGTATGCATAGTGATAACTGACTTCCTGGTACTTAGGGAGCAGAGGGGAGCAATATACTTTCTTTTTTTTTTTTTTTTTGGTCCGGTCGTGGGGCTTGAACTCTGGGCCTGGACACTGTCCCTCAGCTCTTCAGCTCAAGGCTAGCGCTCTACCACTTGAGCCACAGAGCCACTTCCAGCTTTTTCTATGTATGTGGTACTGAGGAATCAAACCCATGGCTTCATGCATGCTAGGCAAGCGCTCTACCACTGAGCCACCTTCCCAGCCTGCCTATTTCGTTGTTTGTTCTCCTCCTCCTCCTCCTCCTCCTCCTTTTTCTGAGAATGCATTTTATATTTTATTTACATTTTAAGACCAACTTTAATCTCAAAAGTCACATATTTTGCCAGGCTCTGTGGCTCCCACTTGTAATTCCAGCTACCTATGAGGTTGAGATCTGTGGCCTGAGATTCTAAGGCAGCTGGGTATCTCCAATTAACAAGCAAGAAAAACTGGTCTGGGGGCTGGGAATGAGGTTTAGTGGTAGAGTGCTCCCCTAGGATGTGTGAAGCCCTGTGTTTGATTCCTTGGGTTTGATTCCTCAGTACCACATACACAGAAAAAGCTGGAAGTGGTGCTGGGGCTCAAATGGTAGAGTGCTAGCTAGCCTTGAGCAAAAGAAGTTCAGGGACAATGCCCAGGCCCTGAGTTCAAGCCCCATCACTGGAAAAAAAATGGACTGGAAGTATGGTTCTAGTGGTAGAGTCCAGCCATTACCAAAAAAGCTGAGGGAGAATGTGAGGTCCTCAGTTCAAGCCCTGAGATAAAGCCCAGGTATCAGCACCAAATAAATAAGTATCTATACCTATTTCCTTTTTGTTGACTACACTTAAATGCATGGTTTATTGAAGACTATGAATAAATATTAGTCATGATTGTTATATGGAACATAGGAACAGCACTTAACAGAGCATCTTTCTTTGTGTGCAGGTTCTGGGACCTGAACTCAGCTAGAGTGCTGTCCCTGAGCCACATTACAAGCATGTGTTACCACTGCCCAGCTCCCAGTATTTGTGGTGGTGGTGGTGTGTATGTGTATGCGCACATGTGCTAGTGCTATGGCTTGAACTCAGGGCCTAGACAGGGTCCCTGATCTTTTATGCTCAAGGCCAGTGCTCTGCCACTTGAGCCACAATTCCATTTCCTTCTCTTTTTTGGTAGTTATTTGGAGGCTGGCTTCAAACTATGATCCTCAGATCTCAGCTTCCTGAGTAGGATTACAGGTATGGGCCATTGGTGCCTTGGCCCCAACATCTTTTTTTGTTTGTTTTTTTTGTTGGTTGTGGGGCTTGAACTCTGGGCCTGGTCACTGTTCCTCAGCTCTTCAGCTCAAGGCTAACGCTCTACCACTTGAGCCACTGCACCACTTCCGATTTTCTGGTGGTTTATTGGAGATAAGAGTCTTACAGGGTTTCCTGCCCAGGCTGGCTTTGAATTGTGATCCTCAGATCTCAGCCTCCTGAGGAGCTAGGATTACAGGCGTGAGCCCCCGTCGCCCCCTCATATTTTTGATATTACTAATAATCAGTCAATCTCAATTTTTGATTTTCAATGTCGTTACTTTGTAACAACATCCATTATGCCTGCCACTTTAACTCTCACTAAGATGGATCTAGCATACTATTTCTTTTACTCCTTCTTAAGATTTCACATTCAAGAAATGCGCACATTGGGGCTGGGAAGGTGGTTCAGTGGTAGAGTGCTTGCCTTGCATACATGAGGCCCTGGGTTCGATTCCTCAGCACCACATAAGCAGAAAAAAAAGCCAGAAGTGGCTCTGTGGCTCGAGTGGTAGAGTGCTAGCCTTGAGCTGAAGAGCTGAGGGATAGCGCCTAGGCCCAGAGTTCAGGCCCCATGACTGGAGAAAAAAAAAAGAAATGCACACATTAAGCCAGGCACAGATGGCTCACGCCTGTAATTTGAGCTACTCAGGAGGCTGAGATCTGAGGATCATGGTTCAAAGCCAGCCCAGGCTGGGAAGTTGGCTAGACTCTTGTCTCCAATTAACCACCAGAAAACTGGAAGTGGCACCGTGGCTCAAGTGGTAGGGTGCAATTCTTGAGCTGAAGCACTGAGGGACAGAGCCTAGGCCCAGAGTTCAAGACCCAAAACTGACAAAAAAAAAAAAAAGAAATGCACACATTTTTTTTCTTTTCTTTTCTTTTCTTTTTCTTTCTTGGGTCCGGTTGTGGGGCCTGAACTCTGGGCCTGGGTGCTGTCCCTCAGTGCTTCAGCTCAAGAATTGCACCCTACCACTTGAGCCACAGTGCCACTTCCGGCTTTTTTCTTTTTGCTTATGTGGTGCTGAGGAATCGAACCCAGGGCCTCAGGCATGCAAGGCAAGCACTCTACCACTGAGCCACCTTCCCAGCCCCTTCTTTTCTTTTCTTTTCTTTTCTTTTTTGTCGGTCATGGGGCTTGAACTCTGGGCTTGGGTGCTGTCCCTGTGCTCTTCAGCTCAAGGTGAGTGCTCTACTGCTTGAGTCACAGTGCCACTTCTGGTTTTCTGGTGGTTTATTGGAGATAAGAGTCTCATGGACTTCCTGCCTGGGCTGGCTTTGAACCTCGATCCTCAGATCTCAGCCTCCTGAGTAGCTAGGATGACAGGTGTGAGCCACTGGGCGCCCAGCTCCCACTTCCAGTTTTATAGTGCTTAGTTGGAGATAATAGTCTCATGGACTTTTCTCCCCAGTCTAGCTTCAAGCCACAATCCTTAGCCTACTAGATTAAGGCATGAGCTACCAGCACCTGGCACTTTTAGCTTTTTTTTTTTTTTTCGGTGGTCCAGTCGTGGGGCCTGAACTCTGGGCCTGGGCGCTGTCCCTCAGCTCTTCAGCTCAAGGCTAGCACTTCCGGCCTTTTTTTTTCTGCTTATGTGGTGCTGAGGAATCGAACCCAGGGCCTCATGCATGCAAGGCAAGTGCTCTACCACTGAGCCACCTTCCTAGCCCCACTTTTAGCTTTTTAATTGGGTAAAATTACGTTATTTTGGCAGAAAATTATTTGTTTTTTAGATGACATGGGCTTATTCCCCATCTTCTTCCCACGTGGAAATCAAGGCAGGGCTGGATCTCTTGAAACACAGACCTTAGTGGAGGCGGATGCAATGGCTGGTCTTCTCTTAGTGGAGACTGAGTTGTCTTTATCATTTCCTGCAGCTGCTCAAATGGAAGTTAAGAAACCCTTCATCCTGTCTTCCATGAAGCTTCCTCTTCTGGACACTAACAGCAAGGTAAGCTGGACAAGTCAGCCCAGTCTTCAGCAAGAACAGACTTAGAGAGAGCGTCCAAAGAGAGTGGCCAGGCAGGACTGAAAAAGCCTCACCTCGCCAGTCACTGGCACAGACCCAGGGGTATGCACACGCTCAGTGTGACTAGCACCTTTCCATACCATGCCTTGACACAGAGCACAGCTACCTCCCAGCTGGTGTCTGTCAGGCTCAGGGTCCCCAGCACTTCTCTCAGGTTCAGCCCTTTACCAGTGTTTTGTGAACCCAGGAAGCAGTTACACTCGTGGTAGTTTATTACAGGGAAAACATAGCGGTTAAAATAAGCTGGGGAAAGCTGGGCACTGGTGGCTCACACCTGTAATCCTAGCTACTCAGGAGGCTGAGATCTGAGGATCATGGTTCAAAGCTAGCCCGGGCAGGAAAGTCTGTGAAACTCTTATCTCCAATAAACCACCAGAAAACCAGAAGTGGTGCTGTAGCTCAAGTGGTAGAGCGCTAGCTTGGAGCTGAAGAGCTGAGGGACAGCGCCCAGGCCCAGAGTTCAAGGCCCACCACCGACCAAAAAAAAAAAAAAGCTGGGGAGCTGGGCATAGTGACCTAACCCTCCCATGCCAGTGCTTTCTGGGCAGAGCCAGGAGGGTCACAGCTTTGTGGCCAGCCTGGGCTACGTCATAAGACCCCATCTTAAAAACAAAGCTGGGGCCTGAACTCTGGGCCTGGGCACTGTCCCTCAGCTCTTCAGCTGTAGACTAGCCCTCTACCACTTGAGCCACAGCCCCACTTCTGGCTTTTTCTGCTTATGTGGTGCTGAGGAATCGAACTGAAGGCCTAATGCATGTAAGGTAAGCGCTCTACCACTGAGCCACCTTCCCAGCCCCAAGTGGCTCACACTTTTTTTTTTTTTTTGCTAGTTCTGGGGCTTGAACTCAGGGTCTGGGCGCTGTCCCTCAGCTCTTCAGCTCATGGCTAGCACTCTACTACTTGAGCACAGTGCCACTTCTGGCTTTTTCTACTTATGTGGTGCTGAGGAATTGAACCCAGGGCCTCGTGCATACAAGGCAAGCATTCTACCACTGAGCTACCTTCCCAGCCTGTGGCTCACACTTGTAATCCTAGCTACTTAGAAGGCTGAGATCTGAGGACTGTGGTTCAAAGCCAACCTGGGCAGGAAAATATGTGAGACTTATCTCCAATTAACCACCAGAAAACTGAAATGGAACTGTGGCTCAAAGTAGTAGAGCACCAGCCTTGAGCAAAAAAATATCAGGGACAGCTCAAAAAAAGAAAAAGAGAGAAAGAAAGAAAGAAAATAAATCCCACCAAAAACAAAAAAAAGCCAGGGGAAGTCTAGGAAGATCAGACCTGCCGTTGTCCTTGGGCTTGGGTAGGGGCCATGCCAAGCACACGCTCTCTGCCCTGCCCATACCATGGGTGAGAACACGTAGAAGCGTTTCTGACCAAGGCTGCTCCTCAGCCTTGGAGTCCTGAGTGCTCCCTGGAGCCCTGTCCTATACACCTGCCTGATCACCCACGTGGCTGTACTCTGCTTCCAGTCCCCCTGGGGCTCATGCCACATGACTCGAGGCCTCACATTATGGACCATGTAGTGTGGCTCCATGTCAGTGGCTGTTCTTACTATGTAGGATATCGCAAGGCTGTACCAAATCCTCCCCCCAGAATCCCAGGCCAAGGTCTAGGAAAGCTGGGTCCTTCAGGGCCCAGGCTAGCTGAGCACCACCATGTTCACAGGGCTTGCTTGTTCCAGGCAGCAGTGGCCTGGCTCTGTCTAAGGTTGCTGAAGCCTTTGAGTGACTGGCCCACTCCTTGGGACCTTATGCCTCTATTGTGTTTACCTGGAAGCTACCGACACAGATCCTAAGTCACAACCCGTGATCCCTCATACTCAGGGTGGTTCTCCACACTCTCTGCAAGGCTTTGCAGGAGGCTTGTTACAAGTGTCTGAACTGTGTGACAGTTCTTAGTTTTAAGGGGGCAAATGCATGCTTAGGTTGGACAATCAGCTGCCAGTACAGATCCCCTTGTTCCCAGATACCCATGTAAGACTCACGTGTCACTGGGGTAGACATGAGTAGGGAATGGACTAAGAGGTCTCCTTTTTGGGGGGTGGGGTGGGGGTGGTGTCTGTTGTGGGGCTTGAACTTGGTCTGGGCACTGTCCCTGAACTTTTTAGCTCAAGGCTAGTACCCTACCACTTGAGGCACAGCTTTATTTCTGGCTTTTCTTGGTGATTAATTGGATATGAGAGTCTCAAGGACTTTCCTACCTGGGGTGACTTTGAACTTTGATCCTGAGATCTCAGCCTACTGAGTAGCTAGGATTGCAGTTGTGAGCCACCTGGTTTTGACACCTAGATTTGGAGCAGTTATATTTGACCTGTGATCCCAGAAGCAGAAGCATGCCCAGGAAAAGGAATATCCTGGGGGTGGGGACAGAAGCTAGCATAGGTGTGCTGACGCTGGGCTGGGAGGGCAGAGGAGAGGCTGGCTTGGTGGAAGGGCTGGCTGTGATCATCTTTGACTGGCTGTGTGTTTATGTCATTGGGTGTTACTGGCTGGGGATGGACCTGTAGGCTGAGAACTCTGGGTAATGCTTGGGTGACCATTATCTGGGGTGTGAAGCAGAACTATGGAACGCTCCAGGAAGCCTCTGGCTGTCACATGAAAGAGTCCCGCCTGGAAAGACACCAGTTCGAGAGCCTAAGGCCAGGTGGACACCAACCAGTGGACAGGGACATATCTGGCAGCAAGGGGTTGTGATTGTAGTGTCTGGAGGATTGGTGGCTGGAGGACAGGACAGTTTGGGGTGGGCCCTTTAACAGAGCTGCTGTCAGTGACTTAAAGTGGGCAGAAGAAGGAAACCAGCAAGATGAGGTGACTTCTAAGGGGCCTGGAGGAGGGAAGGGGTCTGTAGTGGACAAGAGGGAAAGAAGCCCCCTGCAGGCCTGTGCCGCTGCCCGAGAGCTAAGAAAGCTACATGAAACCAAGGGACTGATCAGGAAGCCGGGGCTGAGGCAGGTGTGGGCATGCGCGTGGGCACAGGAACAGGCGTTGGCAGCACGCTCCAGGCGGGGAGAGGAGTGACGTTCCTGCCGTGTGCTCCCTCTGTGGCCTGCTGACCTGCTGTTCATTCTGGGCAGGTGAAGCGGGCTGTGGTGCAAGTGATCAGTGCTATGGCCCACCACGGCTACCTGGAGCAGCCCGGAGGTGAGGTGATGGTGGAGTACATCGTGCAGCAGTGCGCACTGCCCCCCACACAGGAGGTAAGGCCTGCTACCTCACCTGCCACCCTCCCCTCTGCAGCTGCCAAGGTCCTCAGCCTGACCTCTGCTGGCGCTGGTCCCCACAAACTGCTGGCCTGGCAGTGGGTGGTCTCTGTGTACCAAGGCTCCTCTTTCTTCTGAACCTTAGGAGTCCACTCAGCAGCTTTCTAGACTCAGAAGCAAAAGCAGAGAGTAGAGACTTTCTTTTCCCTGGGGATACTCTTATTTCAAAAGTTAAAATGAGCCGGGCATTGGTGACTCATGCCTGACATCCTAGCTAATCAGGAGGCTGAGATCTGAGGATCGTGGTTCAAAGCCAGCCCAGGCAGGAAAATCCATGAGACTCTTATCTCTAATAAACTACTCAGAAAACCAGAAGTGGCGCTGTGGTTCAAGTGGTAGAGCGCTCTCCTTGAGCTGAAGAGCTGAGGGACAGCGCCCACGCCCAGAGTTCAGGCCCCATGACTGATTGAAAAAAAAAGATTAATAAAAATAAATGCTGATTTATTATTGAAAAAGAACAAGGGGAGCCGGGCACTAGTGACTCACGCCTGTAATCCTAGCTACTCAGGAAGCTGAGATTTGAGGACTGAAGTTTGAAGCCAACTTGGGCAGAATAGTCTATGAGACTCTTCAATAAACTACTCAGAAAAAGCCAGCAGTGGAGTTGTGGCTCAAGTGGTAGAGTACTAGTCTTGAGTAGAAAGAGGCACAAGGACAGCATCTAGGCTCTCAGTTTAAGCCCCAGGACCAGCCCAAAAAAAAGAAGAGCAAGGGAAAACGTGGTCCAAACAGACCACAAGTGGGTGCTGGGGATACCGATTAGCTTATCTAGCATATGGGAAGTTAGGTTGGAATTAAGTTTAATAGTTTGGGGCTGGGAATGCGGCATAGTGGTAGAATCCTTGCCTAGCATGCATGAAGCCTTTGGGTTCGATTTCTCGGTACCATATAAACCGAAAAAGCCAGAAGTGGCACTGTGGCTCAGGTGATAGAGTGCTAGACTTGAGCAAAAGAAGCTCAGGGAGAGCGCCCAGTCCCTGAGTTCAAGACCCAGAACTGGCAAAATAAAACAACAACATTTTGAATGGGATGAAAATTAGTAGGTTTGGATATTTTTTGGGGGGGGGGTCCAGTCGTGGGGCCTGAACTCTGGGCCTGGGCGCTGTCCCTCAGCTCTTCAGCTCAAGGCTAGCACTCTACCACTTGAGCCACAGTGCCACTTCCGGCTTTTTTCTTACGTGGTGCTGAGGAATCGAACCCAGGGCCTCGAGCACGCAAGGCAAGTGCTCTACCACTGAGCCACCTTCCCAGCCCAGGTTTGGATATTTTTGACAGTGAACCCCTACTGTGCATGTGTGTTACCAAAGGCTGGGGCTGGGTTGGGCCCGTGAGATTATCCTATCAGGATTTACTTTAATGGATTTCAGTTTTCCATGATAAAATACTTACAAAATGAAACAAAGCAAGCAGGACCTACTGTTCTGAGATGAGTGGGCCTGGGGCACTGGCCAGCCTCACTGTAGAGGAGGCCGCAGCAGTGGCAGGCTGCCTGCAGCCCCTGCAAGCATGCAGGAGCTACCCCCTCTGCGGGGGAGGTGTACCCAGGTGAGGGGCCATTGGCGGCGGCTGCAGCAGTCAGGCGTGAACCCGAGGAGAGGAAGGGAGGCCTCAAAGCCTTGATAGCCATTCAGCCTCCCCCTGAAATCTTTTCGAGAAATATTAAAGAGGAGAAAACCAGAAGTGGTTTTGTGTCTCAAAGTGACGGGACACTAGCCTTGAGCAAAGTAGCTCAAGGACAGCACCCAAGCTGAGTTCAAGTCCTACAACTTACACATACACAAAAAGAATTATTTAGTAGCATATTTTTCCCCTAAGTTTCTCTCTCTCTGTCTTTCTCTCCCTCCCTCCCTCCCTCCCTCCTCCTTGAACTCAGGGCCTGGGCATTGTCCCGGAACTCTTCAGCTCAAGGCGAGCACTCTACCACTTGAGCCACATTGCCACTTCTTTCTGGTTTTCTGGTGGTTAATTGTAGAGTCTCATGGACTTTACTGCCCAGGCTGGCTTTGAACTTTGATCCTTAGATCTCAGTCTCCTGAGAAGCTGGCATTACAGGCATGAGCCACCGGTGCCCGGCTAGTATGAGATTTTTTACAAAACCCATTGGTGTACCTCAGTAAGCACTCCCCATGGGTGGGACTCCTAGAGCAAGCATGGAATGTAGGCAGCCATGCTTTCAGAAACTTTCAGAGTATTTGCCAAAGAAGCTGTGTCGTTTTGCATTTCTAGTGGCATATGGGAATTCCTATTGTGCGTAAGTACTCAGGCAGGATTTGTTTCATTCATTTATGTGCTGTTGGTTGGCTGGGTGGTTAGTTGCAGTGACGGGTCTAACCAAGGCCTCCAGCAGGCTCTGTACCTCTAAATCCCATCTCCTGTCTAACAATTGATAACTCACTATGGGCTGAATTTGCATTTCCTTAATGACTATAATGTTGAACGTCTTCCTGTGTGCTGCTTTGCCATCTGTACTTCTTTTAGTGTTTGCTCATGTATTATGCTCATTTATGAGCTGCTTTTTTCTAACTGATTTTTAATATGTTTGTGTATTCCAAATGCAAGATTTTTGGTCTGTGAATGTTTTCTTAGAAATCTATTGCATGCTATTCATATTCAATTTATGTCTTTCAAAGAGCACAGATTTTGTTTATTTTTAAGGAGCTACTAGTACATATTAGTTGTTCAAGGGAGGTTTCATTTCCACACGTGCACAGCGTGCCCCATCGATTTCATCTCTTTCAGCAGTCTCCCTTAGCTCCTCATCTCACCTCCTAAAAACAGATTTGTTTTGTGGTTAGTGGGATTCAAACTCAGGCCTCACATGTGCTAGGCAAGCACTCTACCACCTTAGATACATCACAGGCCCTTTTCCTTATTTTTTAGGTAGGTCTCATGTTTTCCCCACATAGGCCTCAGAATTCCAACCTGCTACCTCCCTCATAGCTGGAACCATAGACGTGAGCCAGCAGGACGTGAGTGCTGTCTTTGCAGAAGTCCTGGGAGGTAGATACCATTCCCAGTCTTACGGGATCTTGTAAAGGCCTAAATGAGCTGACTAAAGATGGCATCGTGGCACAGCTGGGGTAGAGCCCTGATGGGAGACCTGGCCTTGTTTGTTTGTTGGTTGGCCGGAAGAAGGTGCAGCCAGAGTTGGGAGTCAGCTCACCAGGGGCGGTGCACAACCAGTACACTGAGGAGGAACCCCCATCCTCCTGTCTCACAAAGGTCCCTCTTCCACACCTGCTCTGTGTGGATGTAGGGTGGGCTGCCTGGGACACCAAGAGAAAACATTTGTGTCATCCCAAGAAGGGCTGTCAGCTAAGCTTTACAAGAGACCTACAATAGACTGTATCACACCCACTCCATCTTGAAGCCACCTGGACTGCCTCGTGCACTGTGGCATCCTGGGAGCGGCATCCCCAGCTTGTCAGGCCAGGTCTGAGTACAACCAGGTCCACTTCTCCCAGCCCACCTTCCTAAAAGCATGTCAACAGGTTCCACTGCTCTATCTTCATGCATGTTCAAAGTCATAATGTACTTTGTCCTTATTTTCCCTCATTCATCCTCTCACTGGTACCCAGTGCCATCTCAAGCCTGTTTTACTTTACCTTCATCTGTTTTTTTTTAGGAACTGGTGAATTGTACCAAAGGGTATTTCACACACATGTGTATCATGTATGCCTTTTATCGTTATTATTAAGGAACTGTATAGAGGGTTATATTCCACAAGTGCAGGTCATAGGTACATTACTTCTTAGTGTCATCCCTTCCTTCACTTTCCCCCATTTCCCCTTTTCCATCCCTGCCCACAAGTTGCATAGTTCATTGGTTTTTGTTTTGTTTTGTTCTTGTTTTTTTTTTGGTCGGTCGTGGGGGCTGAACTCTGGGCCTGGGTGCTGCCCCTCAGCTCTTCAGATCAAGGCTAGCACCCTACTACTTGAACCACAGTCCCACTTCTGGCATTTTTCTGCTTATGTGGTGCTGAGGAATCGAACCCAGGGCCTCATGCATGCAAGGCAAGCGCTCTACCACTGAGCCACCTTCCCAGCCCCTGGTTTTTTTTGTTGTTTTTTTTTTTAAGTCTATTCCCCCCCCCCCCCCCCCCCCAGTCCTGGGGTTTGAACTCAGGGTCTGGGCGCTATTCTTGAGCTTCTTTTGCTCAAGGACACAACTTACCCCTTAAGCCACAGTACCACTTCCGGCTTTTTCCGTTTATGTGGTACTGAGGAAATCCAACCCAGGGTTTCATGCATGGCAGGCAAGCAGTCAACCACTAAGCCACATTCCCAGCTCCTAAGTACTGATTTTTTGGGCTAATTTTTTTATCCTGCTACTTTGCCAAAGTTTATTGATCAGCTCTAGGAGCTTGGGGATGGGAGACTTTGGGTCTTTTAGATATAGGATTATATCTGCAAATAGGGATAGTTTGACTTCTTTCCCTATTTGAATCTCTTTTATTTCTCTTTCTTGTTTTATTGCTATGGCTAGGATTTTTATACTATATTGAATAAAAGGGAAAAGAATGTACACCCTTGTATTGTTCCTAACTTTAAAAGAAATGATTTTTGTTTTCTCCATGTTAGCATGATGTTGGTTACACATTTGTCATATGTAGCATTTATTAAGTTCTCTGTTCCTAGTTTCTTCAGGTATTCTATTATGAAATAACAGTTAAAGCCGGGCGCTGGTGGCTCACACCTGTAATCCTAGCTACTCAGGAGGCTGAGATCTGAGGATCCCAGTTCAAAGCCAGCCCTGGCAGGAAAGACCATAAGACTCTTTTTTTTGTTTTTTTGGGTCCGGTCGTGGGGCCTGAACTCTGGGCCTGGGCGCTGTCCCTCAGCTCTTCAGCTCAAGGCTAGCGCTCTACCACTTGAGCCACAGTGCCACTTCCGCGCTTTTTTTTTTTTTTTGCTTATGTGGTGCTGAGGAATCGAACC